TTATTTTTTGACATTTTAATTTATTTCCCACACTATGCGATGAAAGGATAATTCTTTGCATGTCTCAAAGTGTGGGAACTTTATTTAAAATGTCAAAAAATAGGGGAAATTAAGCTGTAAAAAATTAAGTGAAAAAAATGTCAAATTTCAGTATTAAAAATGAACCGTTGAGTTTTGAGAAAATTGGATGTTACCATTAAATTCTACACGTATTGAAACCTAGGAAACAACTTTAAAATTTAAAAAAAACATAAAAAATAAGGTACAAACATGTAAGAACACAATTAGTAGAAAAAATGAGTGGAAAAAAAAATTAATAATTAAAACTCATTTTTATGGAAATTGGACTTGACCATTAAATTCTACACGCTTGGAAACCTAGGAAACAATTTTAAAAAATCAAAAAAACTTAAAATTAATGGCAAAAAAAATTAATTAAAAAACCGCGTCTAAACGCGGAAACCGCGTGTGCTGCGCGCAGCAGAAACCGCGTCAAAACGCGGAAAAACCGCGTTTTTTTATTAAGGCCCTTTTTTTTTAGTTTTTTTTGGGGTTTTTTTGTTTTATCGTTTTTTTTTTTTTTTTCAACTACAAGACTGCTTGATTCATGGATAAATATGTAGTATCACGGTAGGAACGGCGCTAGACAACAAGTTGAGATAATAATGAAAAGGAACATGATCCAATTAATCGTTCCGTGCCGACTCCGCAATGCGGTTGTTGATTTCAGTCACTGTTGGCATCTCGAAGTCCGAGGCTTGAAATTCGCCGATTCTGCGGCCCCACAGTCTTTTTTCTTTTTCGGCAATGAGCTGTGTATGACTGAGATGCAATGATAGATCAGCCAAGTTGCTAGAGCGAAAGCATTGTAAGGACGAGAGGTTCACTTACGCTACCTGGTATCCAGATGACTTGCTCCTCAAGGTTTCCAAGTCGCGGTCGATCATCTCCCAGTTGGTGATCCTTCGGTTCTGACCGTTTGCCTGAAAACGGTGCCTGGCAAGTTGAAATCGCAGGTATGTAAACCGTACCGCCGTAGTGTCGGGTAACTCTTTGATGATTGCTTCATCCGATCGTTTCTCCAAGGATGGCATAAAGTTTCGATGGACCTGTCATCGAATAGATTTATTTTTAGTGAGTTGGACACGATCGGTCGTCTGAAGCTCTACACTAGAGAGAGAGAGATCAAGCTTACCAGAAGGATAAGCTGAGTGAGTGTCGGAGCTGTTTCAGGCAAATATCTGTAGTTTGCTGGGGCTTCCACAATGCCTGCCAACATCTGCATGCTCCTGTAAGCTAATCAATCGAAGGGGTATTGGAGCCGAGGTACTTACCAAGATCGAGAGGTGATGTCTCTCATATCTGAGGGTATCCTTGATGAGTTCAAAAACACTTGAGATGGAGTCATCGTCTCCCGATGCATACCCAGGAGGAAGACGAGAGATGTCCGAGTTCTAAATCTGCCATAGTCCGCTTGAAGATTGAACGATTCCACCTTTGACCCTGGATCGACGTGCTTGATGATGCCTCGCCAGTTGAGTTTCCTTTCCGCGTCGAGCTCTCTCGAGCTCTCGTAGCACAGGTTCAAGTGGGATATCATCCCTCGTCTTTCCCAGATGACTGAAGATGATCTCTTGAAATCTTCCGAAATCGCTTTCCGGCAGGTCCTCCGTCAGGCTTGGAATGTCGCGCTCCGGGAAAACAAGGGCCCAATGAGGAACAACTTTGGCGGCTGGGTTTGAAGTCTTTGCTGGCACTCGAAGAAGCCATATCTCGTAATCAAGATGGATCAACTCGAGCTTGGAGGGCATTGTTGTGGAGAATCGATAAGTTCTGAAGGTCACCGGATGTCTTGAGCCTGAGATGCCCCCGACATGAACCTCACATCTGGCGTGCTGGCTGAGACATGAGCTCCACTGTGATGTGGAAAATCACATCGTTGGGCTGGTGCTCTGACATCATGGACACTGCAACATCATAGATGACATCCTTCGATGTCACCTACGACATCATTTCCACTGTGACGTGGAAGCTGAGGGCTGCCTTGTTAGCTCTCTCTCGGGTCTCAGCTTGAGACATTCTTTTCGACGTCTCGAAACACATGACTACAACACGGTTGTCCTTTCTGATGTCGTGAAGGCCTGATCCGACGTGATCTCCACCATCACGACAAATCGAACATCTCGGAATCAAAAAAGTGAGCCCGCTGTGTTGGTCAAAATTTGGATTGGTGTGTACATATTTAAATAGATCACCACTCACAATCGGACGATGTGGTGATGTCACACTGATGTACAGTCTCAAAAATCCTCAAAAATGGTTAATTATCAAATTTGAGCAAATTTGTCACAATATGTACACACAGATATGTACAATTTGTTGCAAATGTAGCCGCTGAATCGTCCAACATTTCATGCTGCAAAAAACAAAAGGTCACCAAGTCTGGAAGCGTTTTACAAAGCAGGCCAATATATGGGGGGGACTTGGTTAACCTGATTTACAATCATACAAATTGCTTGTACATGGCATGAGGTATTGGATGCAACCCGCCCAGTGGGCAATCCCACCTTCCCTGGGCCTGCTTGGATCTCAATGCCATGTCGACCTAAGCTCTTGGTAGTGGACCCTCTGACCTTGCAGCTCCAGACGATGCCTACAAGGCATATCAAGAGGTCTATCTGCCACACCCATACTTGGCTGAACTCAGGTGGTCATCTGAGGAGGCAGGTCCAAGCTGACCTAGGCTATTTCCGAGAATCCTGGCCAAACGAACTGCGCCGCTGCAAGAATGAGTGTAACTTGTAAGGTAGTCGTGTGCCCTTCGTTGATAAGTCTTAATTCCTACTCTGAATCATTCTCACCAAGATCAGATTGGTATGTAGAAACGTTAAAAAACAATCGCAATCTCCAGAGTATGGACTCAACTTACAATACACCAATCAAATTTTCCAATTTGGAACTGTTGAAGATAAAAAGAGAGAGAGAAAAAAAAACAGATGAAAAAAAAACCAAGGTTGAACTAGCATGTGAGGTTAGAAAACCAAGAACAAGAGTGAAGCTAAGTGTAAGGTGTCTTTGGCCTGGTATATCATCAGTAAAATGCAGTGTCACTGAGCAATGACGGGTGTCATCAGGCCAAGTCCTGCCTGCCACCCATCATTTATCCCATTGTGATTGATGAGAGCCCTCTGCAAAGGATGAAGGGGCCATTGAATACCATTGGTAGTATTTCCAACGGGAGCAGCAACAGAGCTACAACCATTGATGCTCAATGATCAAGTGACTGTTTGTTGTTCCTATTGTGTATTTCAGAATGAAAGATCAAAATAGAAATGAAAAAATGTATAGTAGCAACAATTCAGGATGGCATAAAATGGACTATATTGGAGCCTGTGGAGGTTGATCAGAAGCGATTGACTGGGTTCTTTCTTGGGTTATTGTAACATCGGGATTGGGGTGGGGTAAATAACAGGAGTAGAAGAGCTTCCAAATAGAAAACAGAACAATGTAGAAAAACTAACACGGCTCAAGTCAGAGATCATCAACATAAGAGCTGTCATCGGTCCGCTCTTCAAACAAGTCTAGATGAGTCAAGGACTTGAGTTTGAGCCAGAGATCTCTCTGATGATTGTCGATTGTCGGCCAATCGAGCCCGGCCTTCATCATCGTCCGGACCGCGTGCCCCAGTTTTCGGAGCGCCGGGGCCGAGCCGAAGGAGATGATCGACCAGCTCTCCGAGGCCGGGGTGAGACTCAGCGTGGGTCGGTGCCAGACGTTCAGCTGGCGGAGCGCACTCGGACCGTCGATCGTAAGGCTCTCGAAAAACTCGGCTGTTGTGAATGAATCCATTCGAAGATTTAGTGATTGGACTTGTGGGGCAACCTTTTTGAGATACAAGTGAATATAAAACATCCAAAAGGTATAACAAGACAAAAATTCAGAGTAGATGGGACAGATGAGGAGAGGAGGGTATCCGATGGTTTCCAGGAGGGAGAGTGAGAGAAGAGATCAGCATTTGATTAATAGCAGTCCAAGCAAACCGCTCACCATGAGTACTTGATTCGAGCAAGCCCATCCTAGCGATCGATGGGGACGACCAGGGAGGTTATGTTGCGCAATGAAAGTCAGATCGGTCAGGCGGGGGAGCTTGCCAAGGAGCTGGCTGATCGACCAGGATTGGGAACCGGCGGTCGATTTGTCTTCCAGTTTGCAGCCGGCATCGATGTGTAACCTGATGGAATTATACGGACGATACAATTTTTTTTTTGCAAAAGGTGATTATATCAATTTGATGGGCTCTTCATTCTTGTTGAAGGGCCAAGTTTAGGATTGGACGAACTGTTCTAAATGGGGCGCCGCCTCGGGCAAAGATCTAAGGAGCTGGAGGTCGATGACCGAATTGAGCCCGATGTGAAGCATCCTCAGTCCGGAGAATTGCCGGTTGCAGAGACGAGGAACGGCGGGGGTCATTAAGAGGGTCGAGAGATGGTTGATGCGCAGGAGAGCTAAGAGCCGGCTTGCGCCATCTTGGTCGATCAGCAATCCGCGACAGGAGAGGTAGGAGATGTGCGGATGATGGTTCAAGAAGCCGAGGAAGACTTCGAGCGAGATCAGTTGGTGGTTTGGGCCTGGGCCGGCGATCATGAGTGTCGGGGTGGCCGGCGAATCGAGCGGGTAGTCAGACTGATAGCCTGGACGCCAGAGCTCTGAGGAGCCGGCCAGGTCGAATCCGGTGAGCGAGACGAGCCGCGGGAAGCGGATGGTGGGACTGAGTAGCCTGGGCATGTGGCTCAGACTGAGACCGGCGAGCGCGGTGAGATTGGGAAGCAAGCAATGGACGGTCTCGAGCAGCCGACAGATCAAGTTTGGAGGGACGGTCCGATTGGAAAGGATCAGTTGTCGGACATGGTGGCCGTAGGGTACCTGATCAACCGCTCGCTTCTTTCGCCGAGCCTGTCCAACCATCATCGCCCGCCGTTCTTCATCACCGACGCGCGCCTCTATAAGTGAGTGGTTGTTGTAGGCTGTAGTGGTGGCAGACAAGAATCTGCTCAGTCTGGGAATCATCAGCTCCAAGGGTGATCGATGGCTCCTGCCCCAGCTCGAGTCACTGATCACCAGACGCTTGAGGAAGAGTGGGGTTGCCAGCTGGAAGAACCGCCAGCAGACCAGACGAAGAGTGGCCATCGAGTGCCCAAAGCTGAGTGCATCCCTATAAATTCACAATGGGCCATCTAGGGAGTCAGAACAGTTGATCATGACCATCTGTGTCCTCCTGAAAGTCGCCCTTCAAAGAAAACACTGTGGGACCCACTGAATGAGCTCCTCTTCGTCTTTCCAGCCCGCCTCGTAAGGGTCCATGCTGATGGCGGCGGAGGTGGAGTTTGAGAGCGCAGAGAAGTTGATGATCCGCTCGAGCAGCTCGTCCGGCAGCCGGTCGAAGTGGTTTGGGCCGCCGACGCTCTTCGCGGGGCTTGTAATGGGTGGCTCGATCGGTTGGTTTTCCTCGGACGTGGATTGGTTGTCAAAGATCTCGAGGATCTTGATCATTCGAGTCGGCTGGCCATCTTGTCCGATTTGCTCACAGATCTCGACGTGTGAGACTAGGATACTCATCTCCTAGGCAGATTTAATATAGATTCCGCTGGGGTTGGTGAAGGCTTGATCTTGTGATCTCTTAAGATAGCGTAGTGATGGGCCGTAATGTACAGGTGAGTCTGGCGAGAGGGTGGTTTCTCTCCTACTAAACTAGAGGAGATCACAAGACTATAAACAGTAATAAGTTATGATGATGATAATAGGATATTGCAGATCTGATCAGGTGAAACAGCAAAGACGAACAAAGGAAGGGCTGTAGGTTTGGGCAGGGTAGATATATTTAAGTGAGTGGAGTTGGATGTGGCTTGGGTTGCTGGTCAGAATCTTTTAAGGGAGGCTGCTGTGTGGAAAAGAAACAAATCAGGAGCAGGATACTGAGACTCAAGCAAGAGAGCACGAGGTAGCAGGGCTTGGCAAAGCTTAAATTTATTTGAACTTGCAACTCCAGAATACTACTTCGGGAGCCTTACTTCGTGATCAGGCCTCTTCCCAAACTGAGGCTAGGAGCTGATCAGAGCTCAGTGCTTGAAGGAGCACACTATCTACTGACACTGTCCAGGCTGAGCTGCTCACCCATCCAGGGTGTGGGATGATATTGCCGAGGAGATTCTTGAAATCCAACGAGCTTGAAGATTTCATCCATCCAGAGAACAACCATGTAGGCCATCAAGGCTGGACTTCAGCCTGGACTGGGATCACTCACTCTCTCTCTCTCTCGAGACTCGGAGAAAGTCCGGCGAGAAACAAACTTCTTCGGGCTTCGGCCGTAGCTTCCCAGCTTGTTAAAGGCTTGTCTGGATGAGAAGCACCCCAGAATTATCTATAGATTAGAGCCTCGAATCTCTGCTGCAACAGACAACAGCAATGTTCTCCTTTCCATTGCTGATGATCGCTTGAAACCCCACTGCACACACACACACACTTGAACTACCGTGTCTCCCAGCCCCAGATTTGCCGGCTGAAGATGATGGTCTGGATCTTACAATATAGAGTCAGTTGGGAAAAGCGCAAATACTCTTTGGCTTTGCTGGACCAGACGCCAACATTCGGCTGAGAATTATCCAGTCTATCCTGAAGACTCGAGAGTGTGGCCCATCAACTCCTCCGGAAGGCCACCATATGTTATATTGTCGTTTAAACGCTGAATGTGCCTCTTGATATCCGTGTAGCTCTCGCGTGGCTTGCTTGCGGTCGCCAACTGCTGCTTTCATCCGCTCTCTTTGCCTCTCATCAGGCCGATCACTCAAAAAGACATCCCAAACTTTATTCATCTTCCATCCATTCATTTGGGAGTCCCCCCAGAGACAGTCTCATCAATCCATCCAGAGGGATCTGATCATTGCTGCCTCAATCTTCGGCTATCTCATCGGCACACCCGAAAACTCAGACACTTATAGTAATCCGCATCGTAATGCGATGTCCTAAATATCACTCTTCTGTCTGTCCCCATGCAGAGTCAGGGGGCTTAATATCGTCCATGTATTTAGGATGGCTCCTTCACAATATCAATTGTCGAGTAGCTCTTGAAAGTTGAATGACTAATGACACCAATTTGATCTAGGATTCTTCCATATGTGCAGCTGGTGCATAGAAGGATACAAGAGTGGGAAAATACAATGCATTTAACCAATGTGTTCGACTGATGTTTCCCTCAAGTAATAACCAAAAGGGAACACACCCATCAAAGGATGTCTTAGCCGTCTCAACTTTGATCCGAAACATGCACGAATAATAATAAGTCTTTGAAAATACTTGGGCAAACTGAAGTTATAAAGGTGTGATCAAAATAATCGCAGAGAGATGACTGTCCAAACCAATCAAAGTCCATCCATTTTTCAAGACAAGAAAGGCATCGAGTTTTCAGAGGACTTGATCATTGGTTGAGTGCTAGTCAACACGATTTAACTTCCATTGATCAGGCAAAATTTGAAGTTACAAAGCATGGATCCAACTTCAAGACAAATCAATCACGCCTTATGTGTGTATAGAGAAAACATTAACATACAGTTCATGAAACGAAAGAATGGAATACAATATAGAGACGAAATGTTCCGAATGTTTTGGGTATACCACCGTATGGATGGGAATGAGTGATCTTATAAGAGTGGGAGGTTTGGATGACTAGATTTCTAATTCTTGGGTCAGATGGATTTTCCGACTGCTAGAACCGATCATAAACGTGAACGATCCGTTGGGAACCTCCCAAGCTTGACTGATCACGTCCCTACAGGAAGTGAGAAGACAGCCGAGAATGGTTCGATTAGTTTGCAGGTTATCATATCTGGGGCCTTCGAGTTAGTTACAGGCGAATCAGTATAGGGAGGATGCTTACCAATATGATAGATCCTTCTTTCTCAGGTCAAGAGAGACGGTTTTAGTTTCCCCTTTGGCCAGGAAAACCCGTTCGAAACCTCTGAGCACCTTGGGAGGCTCGTCGACTTCGCTGGGGAAGCCTACGTACAACTGTGCATAAAGGCCCCAGGTGAGTTTCAGCTTTCGCGGTGGAAAGCGCAATTCACGAACAGACGACTTACTTGAGCAACCTCGTTTCCAGAAAGCTCGCCGGTATTCGTGACTCGGAATTGAAGCTTCAGCAGGTTGTCGTATAGTGAGAGATCTGGATCCGGTTTTGAGGAGACATTTTTCGTGTTTCTTCGGGAAGAGCCGGGGTTTGCTTTGGAAATACTCAATGAGTCGTATTTGAAAGTGGTGTAAGACAGACCAAATCCAAATTCAAAGCGAGGCTGTTATCCACACAAAAGGATTCATGAACAGAGAATTTGTTGGTAAGTGAGTCTACTGTGAATTAACCAGAAAACACAGTCAAGATGGCCCGACCTGGATGTTGTAGGTATCGAAATGTCGGTAATCAATCTTCAGTCGCTCTGAGTAATTGATTTGAGGGACCTTCATGTCTGAATTCGACAGGACTCTGGCCGGATAATCGGAGTGTTTCTTGGCGATTGTATACGGCAATCTTGCGGACTATATGGAGTCGCAGTTTGAAAATGATCAAAAGTTTCGATAAAAAAAAAATTAAATTCAAACAGTATCAGATGAATAAAATATCTCCAAAATAAAAGCTGGGATCTGTGGAGAAAAGTTGAGAAAACAATGTGCTCAACTGGATTGACGTGTCCCCAGAGAATATCCACCTCCGAGTTTCCGCTCTCTTGTCCGGGTAGTCCGGCCATCAGTACGGCTGTGACGTTAGGATGATTGATCCAAGGTTCCAAGTCGACAGCGCCGACGGCGTGAACGACGACGACGACATTGTTACAGACCTGGGCGGTTTTGAGGATCAAGTCGTCGCCGTTGAACCACAAGCTTACATTGTTTCTGTCGCCCGGATTGCCCTCGACGGTGATGTAACCTTCGCCGGAATCAGAGCTCACATGGACGATCGCAACGTCGGCTTGGGCGCTCGCTTCACTGATTTCCTTGTAGGCATAGTTGTCGAAGATTGACTGGTAGCTGATCGATGGATTGGCTTGCATCACGTAGTTCTGAATCGCCGTAGCTGGAGCGATCAAGTATGGAAAGTTGGCCGAACCTGAGCCCCATGCGGCTGCCAGAGTACCGTTGTTACAACCCCGAGCAACGCAGGAGTTGATCCCTTTGGGATTGTCGCCGGCATCGCTACCAATGACCACGACAGTCTTCAACTCCTTGGGTGATCTTAACGGCAGAGTGTGGTTGAAATTTTTGAGGAGGATGGTTGATGCCGCTCCGATTTCGCGGATTAACTTGTAATGGTCTGCCTGTACGTTGACGTGCTTGTTGAGACTCTTTTGGTCTTCTGGAGTGCCTTGGCCGAAGTTGGCCATGTTCAGCCTCGGATAATCTGGCTGATCTTGGCCTTGTTTGTAGTAGGTCGAGAGCACCCGGGTGACCATATCGTCAATCCTCTGGGTCGGCACTGAGCCATTCTTGATCGCTTCGATCATCCTCACGCCCCAGTAGGAGCTCTTGGCCGTAGAAGGGTCCGACTCCGACGGTTGCCCGTACTCCATGAAGCCAGGCATGTTCATGTCTGCACCAGCTAGAGTTGTTCTCACGCCCGATGCAGCCGCCGCCCAATCGGTGACCAATACGCCCTGGAATCCATGTTCTCCTTTGGCGACCCCGTTGATCATCGCCGAGTTTTCGCAAGCATAAGTTTGATTAACTCGATTGTATGAGCACATTATGTAGTCTACCCCAACATGAATTGCTTCAGCGAAGGGCCATTCATAGAGTTCACCTGTAAACAAAACAAGCAATTAGTTACACATTTGGGATCATAACAGTAGTAAGAGTAATTGATGACTGGAACGCACGCAGTGTGCGATCGTCGATGTTCGAGCTGGCGGCTGTTCCACCACTTCCACCTCGGTAGTGCTCCTGCTCGTTACCAATGTAATGCTTGACGCAAGCTGAAGCACGGGTGGACTGGATCCCGAGGACGGCCTGCACGGTGGCAACTCCTGCCATGTATGGGTCGGCTCCCGGACCTGGATTTGAACGTTCAAAAGACAAACTCAGATCAACGGAAGCTACGCTTCGCGAGGTTGGTGTCTATGGAAGTGCACCTTCCCATGAACGCCCAGCCTCCGGAGTCCTCATAAGGTTGGTCATCGGTGCTGAGCAAAAAAGTCAACTCAAACATTAGGATTTTTTTGTTAATTTTTTTCTTGTTCTTTACTATTGTACAATCGATTAAATGATTGTGAATGCCAAAGCCCTTGTGTGCTAACCAAGTGCAACGTTGACACCTTTGTTCCTGAATTCTTGGCCCAAAGCTTCGGCGCGTTTGAACATGAGATTCTTGTCGAATGTGGCAGCGATATTGATTCCGGCGGGAAAGACGGAGTTGAAATCGGTGGAACGGACTCCGACTGGGCCGTCGTGCAAGCAGATCGGCTGATGGAAGTCCAGTCTGGGCACCGTCCCCGTTTGTCCGACGCATCTGCCTTCGATCCCCGAGCCGGTGGTCAGATTAACTATAAATCTCGAGAAAATTTTAAAAAGGGAAACTGTTAGGCTGGGTCCGCTCAGATTGACAAGAGGAACGTTTTGAAGGCCAAGTCATAAGAGCTTTTTTTTCCCCGCTGATTTCTAGCTTGCCTTTTTCTTCGATCGTCAGTTGGGCAACGAATTTCTTGGCGCGTTCGATGGAATCTGTCCAAGGAGATTCGCCTTGTTGGACAGGTGTTGGTAGGCTGAATGTCAAATGAAGGATTTCGCGTGGTTAATTGATTTATCAAACAGGAAAGTAACATATAAGATTTATGCAGGATTTGTTTTATTTCAAGACTCCGAGTCCAAATGTAGTTTGTGAATACTAGCATTGTGAGGAAAGAAACAGACGAAGGAGGAGAGAAGGGAAATATGCGCACACGACCGGTGAAGTCCATTCTTCGTAGCCAGCTGGAGCGGATATGACCTCAAAATGAAAGTTTGTTGTAGCACCACTTGCGCGATCATTGCTAGTGTCACCACCCGAAGAAGCCAGGGATGAGCGATCAGGCTGAGGAGTCGTCGCTTGATAATCCGCACGTTGATCTTGGAGGGGATGGATCAGACTAGCCTGCACAAAGAAGTCGAGGCCTCTCAAAGCAACAAGTATTAGGACCAACGATCTGCCCATGTTGGAAATCATAGCTCGCCAAACTTTTGGGAGGCGAAGCTTAAAAAGAACGTGATGTTTGGATGCGATGAACACGGGATAAAATAATGAATGTGTAACTGTCCAAGGAAGGAGTGGACTTGGGACGAGACCCTACCAGGTGTGGGTGATGGCAGTTTGGGGGGGGGGGGGGATTCTTTATTGTGTTTTCTTTCCGATGAAATAACATGGAGCGGAACTTCCCCGGAAATTGCAGGATGCGCAAGTGTGCCATGTCCATGCGCGTGTGTATGTACCATTTTGGAATGAGATGAAAAAAGATGTATGTATTGCAGGTTTGAACTGATTTTGATTGGGGAGGTTCATTTGTACATGCCCAATCATACATACTGGAGGTGTGGCTGGGGCTGAGCGGAGAAAGTTAAAACCGCTGTATGCATGCATTGCGTGCCATTGTACAATTAAGAGACCCTTAAATCCAACGGAGCGAAGGAAGAGGAAGAATGACAAGAAATGAAATGAAGGCCAAGGAAAATATTACAAACCAAGGCCGATGTGCAGTCACGACAGGTCACGGACACAAGGTCCTATATATGTAGGCCACCCTTATCTGCAGGAACAAACAGCATTTCTTGAAAACCTTGCTTACACACAGGTGTGCGTAGGTTTATTTTGTTTTTTCTTCCAGTGCGACTCTCTGCAAGGTATACAAAACCGTTTCTCAATTGAGAGGTTTTCAGTAACAATGTTCATTATATGAAGCTCTACAGAAAGTGTGAAAAGCTGATGGTAACAGAAGATAAGACCGCATCTAGATTTGAAGAGGGAAATAAGATGGTGGCGGTGCTGGGTAATTGACAAGTGAAATAAGATCTGCAGTGCGACGGCGGGATTCCTGAAGGATTCTCTAACCCAACAAAACAAAAAAGCAAAAAAGAAAGGGCAGTACATGATGGACGGATGGTTGGAGTGACAAGCGGAGAGAGTTTCCGCAGATCACGAGGGCAGGCAAGGGCTCTAGAGTTCGAGTTCGTCGTGAAGCAGGATTTGTCGGCTGCTACAGCCAACCATAAGCTTGAATTTTCCGTGCGGAAGTCTCCATGATTGCGAGATTACATCCCTAACAAAAAATGTGCATTATTATCATCAAGTGATGATCATGATCCATCAGCCGTGTCAAACTTGGGAAATTCATGATCATCATCCAGGAAAGGAAAAAAGTGCCGCTTTTTTCGACTTACCAGTATGACAAATCTTTCTTTCGAAGACTCATCGTGACTGTTTTGGTTTGGCCCTTGGGTATGAAGACTCTTTCGAATCCTCTCAGGACTTTGGGTGGCTCATTAACTTGACTGGGGAAGCCAACGTACAACTTCGCAATGAAAAAAACGGAGATGTTAGCGCTCGAGTTTCTTCGTGAGGATCGTTTGTAAGGTGCGGTGGATGGATAACTCTGTAGATCATTAACGTACTTGAGCTACCTCATTCCCTGGCATCGTGCCGGTGTTGGTGATCCGGAATTCCACGCTCAGCATGTTCTCGTACAAATCTGACATGGGCGATGAAGGGCTTAGGGACATCGATTTTTGCGGCGAGGGGGGGCTGGGGCTGGCGTGAGCCTTGGATGGTTTGGCAATCTTCAAGGAGTCGTACTTGAAGGTTGTGTACGACAAGCCAAATCCGTATTCGAATCGAGGCTATTGTAAGAGCAAGAACGGTGGCCAAAAGTCAACAAACCCTACATGTAAGAGGCTTTAGACTATCGCAAAATCGTGAATGTCACTAACTTCGATGTTGTTTGTATCAAAATGACGGTAATCGATTTGTAGTTGCTCCGAATAGTTTATTTGGGGGACCGGCATACTAGAGTTATAAATTACCTCAGCTGGATAATCCGAGCGTTTTTTGGCGATGGTGTAAGGTAATCTAGCTGACTGAGATCGAAGTTCACCAATTAGTGGAACGTATGGGGAAAGATTGTCCACTTCAGGCATCAAATTTGTGAAGAACGAAAGACTGATCAAGATGCTCAACTGGATTGACGTGCCCCCAGAGTATATCAACCTCCGAGTTCCCGCTCTCTTGTCCAGGCAGTCCGGCCATCAACACTGCTGTGACGTTGGGATGATTGATCCACGATTCCATGTCGACGGCACCCACCGAGTGAACGACGACGACAACATTGTTGCAAACCTGCGCGGTTTTGAGGATCAAATCATCGCCGTTGTTCCACAGGCTCATGTTGTTTCGGTCGCCCGCATTTCCCTCAACGGTGATGTAGCCTTCCCCGGAATCAGAGTTGACATGCACGATGGCAACGTCAGCTGATACACTAGCATTCCCGATTTCGTTGTAGGCATAGTTGTCAAAGATCGATTGATAGGATATGGTCGGATTTGTCTGCATCAAATAGTTCTGAATCGCCGTAGCTGGAGCGATCAAGTACGGGAAGTTGGCGGTACCCGACCCCCATGCGGCTGCTAGGGTACCGTTGTTGCATCCTCTGTCAGCGCAAGAGTTAATGCCCCGAGGATTGTCGCCGGCATCGCTACCAATGACCACGACCGTTCTCATCTGCTTTGGTGATTTGAGCGGCAAGGTGTGATTGGTGTTTTTGAGTAAGATGGTTGATGCTGCTCCAATCTCACGGATTAACTTGTAATGGTCGGCTTGGACATTGACATGCTTGTTCAATCTGATCTGTTCTTCCGGGGTGCCTTGTCCAATACTCATCATATTAAGTCTCGGGTAATCTTGCTTGTCTTGCCCTTGTTTGTAGTAAGTAGACATGACACGGGTGACCATATCGTCTAGCCTCTGGGTTGAGACCGAACCATTATTGACAGCCTCGATCATCCTCAACCCCCAATAGGAGCTATTAGCCGTAGAAGGGTTGGGCTCCGACGGCTGACCGTACGCCATAAAACCCGGCATGTTCATGTCGGTACCGGCCAAAGTGGTTCTGACGCCTGAAACAGCTGCTGCCCAATCTGTGACCAGGACACCTTGAAATTGATATTCCCCTTTGACGATGCCGTTGATCAGCTTTGAGTTTTCACAAGCATGGGTCTGGTTGATTCGGTTGTAAGAGCACATCACGTAGTCCACCCCTGCATGGATTGCTTCAGCGAAAGGCCAATCGTACAGTTCACCTGTGGGTGTAAGACACATCAGTATAAACCAAGTTACCCCAGGAATCCGATAGCTTGAACGCACGAAGGGTACGATCATCGATGTTAGAGGTGGCGGCTTTCGCGCCACTCCCCCCTCGAAAGTGCTCCTGTTCGTTGCCAATGTAATGCTTGACGCAAGCTGAGGCTCGAGTGGATTGTATGGCGAGAACGGCCTGGACGGTGGCAACACCAGCCATATAGGGGTCGGCGCCCGGCCCTGAATTGGAGATTAGAATCACCATCAGACCAACTGATGGAATGTCTAAGTACGCGTAGTTATGTATAATCACCTTCCCAAGCGCGCCCGCTTTCGGGAGTCCTCATGAGGTTGGTCATAGGAGCTGAACAAAACCAAGCGACGATTCAGTCTTCTTTTGTATCCAAAACAAACGGACTCAAAGCCTTGCGCCTATACTGCTTACCTAGTATAACATTAACACCCTTGTTCTTGAACTCTTCTGCCATGGCATGGGCCCGCTTGTACATAAGATTCTTGTCGAAGGTGGCCGCGGCATTGATTCCAGCCGGGAAGACAGAGTTGAAATCTGTAAACCGGACTCCAACCGGCCCATCTTGTAAGCATATCGGTTGATTGAAGCCCAGCCTGGGTACCGTCCCTGTTTCTCCAACACATCGGCTTTGAACTCCTGCCCCAGTGGTCAAATTAACTGGATATCACAGGTCCAATCAGTTATTTTAGCTCTGTTTATTCCTTTCTTTTGCAAGGCATCCTTTGACGGCCCCAGTTTCGGAATGCGAGCTTACCTTTTTCCTCAAGGGTGAGCTGGGCGACAAATTGCTTGGCTCGTTTGATGGACTCAGTCCAAGGAGAGTGGCCTTGTTGAGCCGGTGAAGGGAGGCTGTGTGAATTGTAAAGGTTGACAGAGACAATGTGGTTATTACGCATGCCAACAAAACAGACGAAATTATGTCAACAAGCTGGAAGAAAAGCAAAAGGTATGATGTTTATTTCAAAGCTTCAAGCCGTGGGATTTGATATTTTTATAAAGAAAATCGTGAACATTAGGGGAAGGAGAAGATGGTACATAAGACTGAGCGCGTACACGACAGGTGAAGTCCATTCTTCATATCCGGGTGGAGCTGGGATGACTTCGAAATTGAAATTTGAAGCGGTGGCGGTAGCATTGATAACGTGGCCGGGAAGAGCGGCTGGAGGCGGACTTGAGGAGTTGACGATTGGCAGGTGTGCGATGTCCTTAGCATGAGATTGTGGATTGAGAGTTGGATCAGAAGTGATGATGTCTCCATTTGCGGCACCAAGGATAAGCAAGAATGAGAGTCTTGCCAGGCCGGACTGTCTGGGTGATCGACGAGAATGCATCATCCTGCAATTAGGGGCAAGACGGAAAGGTAAGGGTTGCTTGGGAGGGCGAATGTGAAGCTGGGGAGATGGCCCGAGTGTAAACCTCGTCGCTGTTTTAAAAGTGCGACGGCTGGATGGCCTATGATAGGTGACACTCTGGACAGACGTGCGTGTGTGTGTGGTATAAATAAATTATAAATAGTTCTATAAGAGGGGGCCACCAATGATTAACACATGCACACTTCAGTGACGCGGTGATGAGTGATTGTCCGTGGTTCTCGAAGATCCCAATTTGATATCTCAGCGAAGATGGATGAGAAAGTGGCACTCAATCCAGGGTAATTAAAGACTACTATATTTCGTGTGTGTTCCCGTTTGGGGTTTGGTAAGTTATGTACCACGAGCCGCAAAGGTTCTTGGGCAGCTGGCAGGTCTAGGCTAGCATGAATCGTGTCGGATCGGAGTGCTGTTTGCCTTGCTGAGGCCGAAAAGCTCATCGATCGAAGCTTGCTCGGCGATCTAACCCAAGAAGAGCCCTAGGTTGTATAGGGTATACTGATTCATAAACTGTTACTTGGAGGACGAACGATAATTGGTCAGTCTTTTTCGTGGGGACCCTCACCCTGCCGAGCCTGGCTGATCAGCGGGGATGGCCCATCTGGGAGCCGATATTAAACCAGCTTCAATTTTAGGTTCTTGCTTCCCGAATGCCCAGCCTTTATAATGGGGAGTTGAATTAACGTTTAGCCGAGCCCGGACCCGCGTCGGCTTGAGCAGACTCGATCGTTTCAGGGGACGCCCGAACATGCGCCATCCTGGCCTGCGAGGAATCGGCTGAAACTGAGTTTCACCGCGAATAACTGCGAGTCGCTCTGATCGAACGAACAACAGCATGGTTTTGACTTGTGGCCACTGGCCATCGATGCTCTTCGATCTATCTATCGCCTTGCCGGTCACAATCCATACACAGAGCAAGCAAACCGCGACCATGCCTTGCAGCAATTATCGATTTATGTTCAAAGTGTTTGTGCCCCGCTGCAGCTCAGGGGCGTCCAGGGATGGCCAGGAGGATCGCCCCGCCGAATCCGCACACAAGCTCAACCACCCTCTTGGCAGTCCTCGGCCGCTTCTTCTATGTATCATGACTCATAGAGAAGTTTGTTGTATTGGAGCACTCTCTTTGAGGGATGACCAACTTTGTGGTGGCAGTCGAGTGGGGCCATCTAATATGGGTCCACCGGGACATCCCCAGTTCTGGTCCGTGGAAAGCTCCTGCCCTTGCGTACACTTAATTCTTCTATTTAATGCAAATACAACTTTTGCTGGAGGAAGTATCAGCAAATTGGGATGGATTGGACATGTGACCAGCAAGCTTCAGATGCAGCGGCTTCGGGATTAGCTAGCTTGGTGGATTCACAATCACATGACCAGATAGGGCCAGATCATAGATTGCCTCAGCGGACTCCGACTCTGAGCAAAGTCCCTCGGAGTCGCCTCGCCGAGGCCGGAAGCGCCTCCAAAATTCGAGTCTGACCGTCCGTCGGTCCGAGGCTGAATGAGTGCTTCGGCTCGGGTCTCCTCGGGGCCCCGGTAGGGACTGCTGAAGTCTGCTCAGGGTTCACCGAGCAATCACAGCCTGTGACAGGTCAAGCACTCCAACAGAAGAATCCAGAGCACAGCAGAGTCCAGAGGGAAAACCAACAGCAACCTCCAGACCATGTCCACCGCACCCTTACCACTAGAACCAACCCAGTCGACCGACGGATCACAACTACAGGTCAAAGTCACCGAGCTGGACGACCAGCATGCGGCATTCATCCTAGAAGGCATCGAACTAGGACTGGCAAACTCGTTAAGACGGACGATGATCGCAGATCTGACGACGATCGCCATCCATTCGGTCGAGTTCGAAGAGAATACGAGCGTGTTGCCTGATGAAATGATTGCGCATCGGCTCGGATTAATCCCCCTGATCAGTGAGGATCTTGATAAATACCTCAAAAATTGGCAACGGGTCAGTCGATCAATTCACTATTTCCTCTTCACACCACTCTTGAGATAATCCAGCTGATCAGAAATCCTTGGTGATCGGTTCCTTGTCGGTTAGATAGGATTGTACTTGTTTATCGTATTGTGACGACTGTTCGATCGAATTAGTCCTTTCAACTAAATGCACCTTGGTCGGTGATGTTCTGGCAGTCAATTCGCACGACCTTGTCATCACGCCCAGGGAGGATGGGGCACATCGAGGTGATGTGGGTAAACCATACCGTGAGTGCTTCATCCCTATCTGATGAGCTTAAGCCACCCAATTCTAGCTAACTTCAATTTTAAAAAAAAAAAAAAAGAATTCACTATGCCTGGTGGTGAACAACCAGGAGTCTTGATTACCAAACTTCGCAAGGGCCAAGAAGTCCGTTTAAAATGCCGAGCCATCAAGGTACGTTCTACTATTCGAGCTTCGATGTGATACAGTCGACTCATTAAAAAAACTCGCGACCTCCTTTTTTGACGTGCAGGGAATTGGTCAGGAACATGCCAAATGGTCACCTGTATCGACTATTGGGTTTGAGTACGATCCATACAATCGCCTTGGGCATACTGATCTATGGTTCGAAGTCGGCACCGACCCAAAAGCCGAATGGCCTCTCACGAAAAACGCCAAAGTAAAACCTTTTCCCTCTCGAGCAGAACTGGAGTAATGGCCTCTGAGCGATCCTTTTCTTCCTGAATACTGGCTTTCTGTAGTATGAGCGACCTCCGCTAGATGACGAACCAGTGGATTACACTAGTAAACCCTCGCGGTTCTATTTCGATGTTGAATCTGCGGGAAGCCTTAAACCTGACGACATCGTCATCAAAGTAAAGTCTCTCCCATCGAACCCCCGATCGTCATTGTTTATCGCTCGTGCTGACTGATCGCGTCAATGATTATCTCTGACGCGTTCAGGGAATCGAATCTCTGATTGTCAAACTGGCATCTGTCCAACAGGGCATCCAAGCCGCATTAGGTGAAGGTGGTGGTCTCAATCCAGATGGCCGGAACACTCCATACATGGGCACACCCTTTGGAGGAGCGGGTGGTGCTACTCCAGGCTCTCGGCCCGATGGCACGTATTCCACCTACGGAGGCGCCACGCCAAACGCGCGAAATTTCTCCGACTGGGGTCCTCCCGCTGCACCACTCAATCCTCCCGGTGGTCCTAGTACTAATGGTTATTCTGGCGGTTGGGAATAAGGTCAACAACCCCTGTGTTCTTTTCATTTTTTCCTCGCAATCCAGTCTTCATTAGCACCACACTGGATTTGTACCCGTTTATTTCCTTGTAACTCTTGGCACAATCTTGCTTCTCAGGGTTGCCCATCATTTTTCTTTTTTTTTTTTTGGTATAATTTAATCCTATCCAAAAAAAAAAAAAAAAAAAACAGGCTGCTTGTCGTTGATTTAACTATGAGCTTTGCTGCAAACTAGTCTCAGCTTACAAGTCTGTTCCCAAAGTCTTGTCCTGCTCCAAACTGGAGGCTGTTTGTGACATGTATTTTGTCGGCAAAAAAAGTGGATGTCAAGCTCGAGTCGCTTTATCACCCGTGTGCAAGTGACAGTGCCTCCAGTCGGACCTGCCGGAAAATGTTTCTTCAATTCTGTTTCACAGTTTTGACTCATGTTGTGACTATTAGTATTTGATGGGGCGCTTGTTGCGCAACTTGCTGCAAACAGGAGACTTGAAGCTCTTGTCGGCAAAAAAAATGTATGTCAGCCCGAATCACTTTATCATCAGCGCCTCCATATCGACCTTTCTATGAATGTCATTGCCAGCAACCCTTGACACAAAGGGAAAGTTGCACTTTGTGCCTCTGCCGGGGAAGGACTTGAATCAACTTTGCCGATGACGGTGGCAGATAACTTCATGTAGCCGTCAATTTAGGGACTCGAGTACGAACCACTCAAGTTGCTTCTGGAGGAAACCTGCGAGACGGCAGTAAATCTCGAGATGGAGGAACATCGAAGTGGAAAGGTGAACCGCTATGAGAAAGAGTCAGCGTGGTGTTATGGCCTGCGCATAATGCTTGCCAGCGTTCTATCCGGAGAGAAATCAAAGGAAAATCATCCGGGCCCTGTCTTAGCGGCTGTTGAAGCAGTTGGCATCAGCATCAAAAAGACTTCAGTCAGCTCCCAGTTCATAATCACCTGGGTACCTGGTCTTTTTAGCAGCCCTGGCGTGACTTTGGGCCACAAGCTACCCGACGGTGATCTCTGTGATCGGAACAAACCGACCAGCCGTTGTTCACGCATGTACCGAGAGGAGAGTGTCCTTTATATAACCTGCGATGGCGCTCAAAGTCGCCTCTTGGTTTATCTTCTGTTCCCTTCGTGATTCTATCCGATCTGTCTGTTACTTCAAATTCGTAATACTCCTTACTTCAAACTTTCTCAATTTGTTATAATCCGTACCTTTTCTGGTCTGTCATTGCCCGCCCGAAGTAATTCTTACAGTTATTTCCATCCATTCCTTCAGTCTGTCACTCATCCACCTCAAGTAATTCTTACAGTAAATCTGTTCTAGTTCTTTCTGTCTACTCTCTCGACCTCAATCTCTCCAAGGAAGCCTTAATTCTCTCAACACAAGAAAACTTTCAATACAAACCAATCATGAAAACCTCAATGCTCCTCTCAGCCGAGTCAACACCCACCCGGTTCATTTCCGTCAAAGGTTTATCGTCACCCTTCCGGGATCAACCAGCCAGCTCCTTGACTGTCTCATCCCACGTCATTGACATCTCGCCTTCACCCCCACCTCCGGCCTCGATGCTTGATACTCTTCTTAGCGGCAGATTTGCCGACACCCTTTCGCCTGATGTGTCGACTCCCGTAGAAAGTGACATCAACCATTCGCTGGATAGCGCTGAGTTTTCGCTTCCAGAGCCAGCAACCCTCCATGCCAGACATCAGCCCATCGGACTTGGATTGGGTATTGATACCGGAGAAAGCACTTTCGCAAACTTCTTGCCCATGGTAGAAGAAGCTCTTGAGTCTCCATCGGGACTGCCGTGGGGTATGGAGGAAAGCACTCTATCTTCAGTCCCAGCTGTCACCTTATCGACGCGTCGAGTACAGCTGAGTCCTTGGCCCACATCTTTCGAAACCATCACTCCCGAGAGCGCAGTTAATCAAGATTCTTGGATTGGTGGAGCTTTTGAACTTGGCACCGCACATCTCGATGAAGAAAATCACCCATTTAGCACCCTCTTGAAGGACTCAAACTCAGATACCCCCTCAGAAATGTCGCCTTCACTTTCAGACAAGTTTCCTGCTCAATCGTCTATCACACCACAGACGAAAGTCTTGGAGACTGTGGATATTCCTTCGATTTCCCAGAGGTTAACGCGACGATTGTTATCATTCAACCGGAAAACATTGTATGTTAACAGAGATAAAATGTCCTTGATCCTTCCAGTCATTGAGTTTAATCTTCTTTTTTTTAGGGCTGGAGACCACTTCCAATCGGAAAGGGTTGCACCAGAGCTGCAAGCTATCCCATCGGTTGTCATTTCCTCTCTCGAGTAAGCTTGCCCACTAAAACATTCATTCCCGTGATTTTTAACCAGAGTTCACCGGAGCTCAGAGGTTGACTTGAAACATTCCTGAATATTTCTTGCCAAGCAGGGATTCCTCAGCTCCACCGATGCCTCTCTCGATGAAATTTAGCCCTCGCGGCCGACTCTTAAGCACCCTGCGCCATCGGATGATGCTCCGTGGATTGGATTCAGATCGAAGTGGCAGTGATGCCAGCTCATTTACCGGCCCATCTCAAGACGCGCTTTCGAGCCAAAGTGCACCCGCCTGGAAGAGTGACTCGCCGCTCGAGCTACCATCATCCCCAGCTTTCCCGTCTCTTTCTCCAAACCTTCGCGATACCCCTGGAAGCTTTTCGCCAATGATGCACGACAACATGGCATTTTCACCGGCCATGTCGCATGCCACTCAGGCACATGTGATGTCTGTGCACACCGGGGCCACGACGCTTATATTCTCAGTTGTCGCCGGAAGTCTGGGCTTTGTTGGAATTTGTCTGATTCTCCTTGGTCTGGCTTGGAAGAAGAACGGCGGCTTTCCAGGACTAACATCCTGGAACCGCAAGCACAGAGGTACCGCCTATGATGAGTTTATGGAGGAGAAGAGCTGCTGGGTTGCCGACAAAAAACTCAGGATTCATCGAGAAAGCAAGCCCAACCCGGAACGCACGGTCACCACAGTCAACCAGAACCCAACCAGCTTCTTTTCAGGCCACGAGGATAGTAGGAGTCTGCACCAGGTCTCTCGCAGCCCATCCCAAGCTCCCTCGATCCCGCCATTAGCTTATCTTGTCAATGGAAAATTAAGCATTGATAGCATCCGACTCGAATTTCCTGCACCCGTATCGTCACCGGCAGTACCTTCCCTTTATTCAGGACTCAGTAGCAATTACGAGGATGATTTGAAGGAGAATGACTACAAGGTCATCAGCACTTTGAAAAATCGAGTTCAGCCGGAGACCGCTCAATCACCTCTCAAAATCGATTTCTCAAATGATGCTCATCTTGCCAGCCGGCCAAGGTCTGATAGCAAGTCTTCAACTGTATCGAAGGCATCCCTCAAAAGTATCAGCTCACTAGCCTCTTACCTCCTCAGTATGACCAAGTTTGATTCTGTATCCGCTGGAACCAAAAAAGGAAAGGTGGACATGGGTATCAGCAGTGAAAATTATAAGAATGCTCGCGAGTCGCTAAATAGCGTCAATGATCCATTCAGCATGTCCCCAAAGTACACCAAGAAACCTAGTATTCCAGCCTTCAATCAGTCCATCAAGCGAGTTGAGTCGGCTGACGGCTTAGTCCGAGCAGCCTCGGCCCAGTTTGACCGATTGCACCACTCGGCCAGCTCTCATCAGGATGCTCCCAAACGGCCGAACACGATTTCTTGTGTGCCTCCTGCGATTTTGATCACCGATCATCCCTCCGAGCTCATTCCGCCATCTCCTCCACGCTCATCCACTTTTGACCAAAGACCCGAGTCCATCGGAACCTTCTTGACCCGATACTCCAACTTCAATTACACCTCAGAGGAGGATCTTCAGGCTGAAGAGAATGGCTCCCCCACTTCGCCCCAACAGGAATATCCCATATCTCATGTCCATCAAAGCCATCATGAGAACCAAAGTGTATTGGAGCCCCGCAACTCAAGGGTGGCAACATTCAGTGAGCAGGTTGAAAGAGCGCAAAGGCAGCCGACTCCACGCATACGCACCTTGTCCTCCGGGCAAGAATGGCGCGTCAAAGATCCTCGAATCAACTCAGTCTCCAGTCTCATCAGTCATCGATCACGCACCAGTGAGCTTCTTGGAACTTCGCCTCTTCAAGACTTTGATCGGTCCAACGCAAAGTTCAATTTTGCACCCAAAAGAACCAGCTTGAACACCTTGAACTCCTCGCAAACGATTCGTGAGCTAGCCGCAGTGACTGAAGATCTCCGAGCGTTGATTGACTCCGAAATGGATCCCGACTGCTCTTGGGATTTACCCAGCCAGTTCCATCAAACCGTTCCTGATTGGGTCACCCTTCCTGCTAGTTTCATGGTTGCTCCGCCCATGCGCCCACCAAAATCTGCGAGCCGATATAGCAGCATGAAGCCCACTGCTATTGAGTACGAAAGTACTTCTACCCCTTGTTCGCCCAACGATCCCAATCCATTATCCAGCCACCACTTCTTAAACAATCACCGAGCTTCCTCCCAGTCGTCTGAGGTTCATCATGTGAATCAGTACACCACCCAGCCGAATTTCGAGCCATCATCATCGACGAAAAGCAAACGAGTTTCTTCCGGATCCAGAGTGAGAAAATCGAACTCGGAGTCCTCGATCGAGACCGTCGTCTCCGCCGAGTCGAATGCCAGCATTCTTGAGATCGCAAGTTTGCATACCGCCCAGACCCAGAGCGTGCGAGGCGTGTCCGCCGAATTCGTCATTCGACAAAGCATCGCTCAAATCCAAGCGTTGGAAGCCCACAACCGTCTCAGGATGGCCCTCGCCACCAGACAGGAGTAGTCTTGACTTTCAAAAAATAACGTGAGCATAACAGACCTCTCTTAGGTTTGCGTGACGATAATGCCGGCGACAACTAACTCACTTTTTTTTTTTTTCGTTGCCAACTTGTAGTTCCTGCATTTTCTTTTTCTCCCTTCTCTCTTTGATTTTCTAAACCGGCCAACAAGCACTTTATAACTTATATAAATTACTATGGAAATACATTCCCACCCCGATAATCACATGTTGAACTGCTACATTTGTGCACCTCTTCTCAAAACATAAATCAACCAACCAATAATAATAATCCAGTTATACCACATATGTAATGCATGCATCCCTTTTGGGGTCTTTTTGCCAAGCATGAAGGCCACATCTCATTTATTATAAATCCGCTGCAGTCTGATCACATATGAGGGTCCAGAAATGATCTGCTTCAGCTTGACGGTCTTTTGTGACTGGTCATGCGGACCAGTTGAAATCGAACTTAACACAAGTCCCCCTGGTGGGAGGCTCGCTGGTGTGTCTGGCTGGGCGCGAAGCGCCCCCTCCCGCAGGGAGGGGGCTGCCGCCCAGACCTGCCCGCAAACGACTCTCGTCACGAGAGGATTAGTTAAGCTCGAGTTGAAATCACTTGCGAGACATGCTCCAGGTTTTCTTGGCAGGAATGAGTTACATATCTAGACAATTACTGGTTACTCCAAATTTTCCAAAATTTTCCGCAAAATGAGATGTCATTGTTGAAATTTTAAGACTCAGGCGCGTAAGAGGATGAGGGCCAAAAAAGGAAAGGACTCTTCTTTGGGAAAGGTTCACGGAAAGGAGTGTGAAGAACCGATGATTTTTATTCACTGTAGGTAGGCTAGCTTAAGTAGACTAGTTACAAGTGGTCAAAATGTGGTTTGAGAAAAATGAATAAGAAAAAAGTATTTTGAATAAAAATTGAGAGAAGATAAAACAAGTTCTTGGAAGTAACAAACTATGCAAAACATCTCATTCTCTTTTAGTAATGTCAGATGAGTTAATCAAGAAAAAATGTTTTAAATCACAGATAACAAGAGGCGTTAATTCTTATTAATCAATCTTTGATAAATCAATAATAAAGTCAGAAAAAAGAAGAATCCATCTTAGAGACATGAGTAGTTAAAAAGGCTGATTTACTTAAGGTTCAAATTTGACTCAGAAGGGGGCTCAGAATAACCAAAAACAAGCTACTTGAAGAATATAATCTAGTCTGATTTAAGATGACTAGAAATGGATGAAGGGCAGAGAGAGACAGAACTGAGGAAAATTCAACAGTCATTGACTCGAGTAGATTGAAATGAGGCTAGGTAGGTATCAAATTGACTGATTTGAAGTGGATCTGAGATTGTAACACTGGACAAAGGGCACAGGTAGCAGCAGCTGAAATTTCGACATCCCCTTTCTGCATTGCTCGGCGCGGGCAGGGCTGTAGCCGTCGGCGGAAAGGGATGGAGGAGGCTAGGTACGGCTCAACCGGTAGCAGGCCAGAATGGTCGGAAGACGTGCGTCGAGAGGCGTCCCCCTCCGGCCCACACGACTGATCGGTTGAAAGTTGGGGTTGCGCGACCTGCGGTAATGGCAAAATGATGTAGTCTGGGTTAAATGTGACGACTGCAACTTTGGACTGGTTGTCAACCAACCAACCTACTAGTACTACTAGAACGTGGTACACAGAGCGACAGTCTGACTCTAAAACCTAATGTTGACCGGGTTGATTGGAGTTCCCCAACAACGCGAAACTTGTGAACTCGGTCTCTGTCACTGATTGAGCGCCAGAACCGAGCCGGGCTAAAACTTAGCTTCGGAGGCGACGTCATAAGCTTGCGTTGAGGTGATAATAGTGACTAGCTTAAGAAGGAAGCTCTATCTTTCCAATGGTGTATTTCCCTCACTGAATCAACTATTCGTCCCTTATTTTTATTTTCTCCAACTTGTGAGTTTCCACCTCTGCAACCTCGTATACTTTCAGGCCCCTCCCTCTCTTGTCCCACTGACTGACCTCTTCTCGTTTTCTTGATAGACGGGCGCTGTGTGCACTTATCGTAATCAATTATTGGAATCAGCGATTCTACACTTTCTCTATTCAAATTCACTTGGATCACTTACTTTACACGACTTTTATTATACAGCTTTTCACGGGGAATCCAATATCTTTTGATTGGCAGACTTTTTTTTTTGGTTATCGGAGCTAGCCTTCATCGATAGACGCGTTTTCTCGACGAAACATGATGAACCTTTCAAGCAAGAAGATTTTTTTCACTTTTTTCATCACGATTTCCATCACCTTGTATCACGTCCAGGATGGACTCTGCCACGGTTATATCAAAGCCTGGTCGGCCGATGACGGTCACACTTGGACTTTGGGCCAAAAGCAAGAACTCGAAAACTCTTCAATCCGGGGCTTCTCAGAAAATACCGGTTGGATTGGAAGCCAATTTCTGACTAAACCTGCCTTCGTTTGCGGGTCCGGCTTAACACCAAGTCTCAAGATCGTTGCTCCCAGTGGGGACCTCTTCAGCAAAGCTGACCAAAGCGCCGGGAAAACCTTAGCCGTTGCATCTGGTGCCACAGTTCGCTTGCTCATAAATGACGAGCCTCATAAGATGTGAGCAGAGTGAAACTTGAGAACTTATCTCTCTCGGATTCTGGCTTACCTTTCGTCTCGTCTATGCTGATAGATACCCCCACGAGAACGGCCATATTCAAATTTATCTCGGCTATTGCGGTCCGTCTGAAACAGCATGCGAGAAATTCGATGCTGCGACAATCAGCTACTTCAAAATATTATCATTGAAACATGGATTGGGATCGAAAAAGGAATTCCCTTACAACAAACACAAAGATGGAAATGTGGTCAAAGTGCCCATCTCAAACAACCTGCCAAAGGGTAGCTACATCATGCGGATTGAATTGTTGAGTTGCTTCACTGATTATTGGATTTTTCTCCAAAGATAAACAAACCAAGTCTTATTTAGGGATGAAAGAGTGAAACTGACTATCTAACTTATTACCTCGATCTATTGTGCATGACAATCTCTTGATGGAAATTCCGAAAAAAAGAATTGTTTTTGGACAGTCGTCTGAAGCTGAAGGAAAGCAAGACCAATACTACATCACTTGTGGCCAGATGGCCCTTCCAGAGCCTGAAGTTAGCCCACCGGTCTCCATCGAAAGCTTAGAGAGCGTGCGGTTCCCAGGTGCCTACAAAGATGGAAATATCGATCCGGACGACCCACCACCCGGCCCAAATGTGGTGAACTTATCCACCGGGGCAGCCAAGGAAAATGGCAAGGCCGCCTCAAAACTTCGCCAGAGTACCTCTCAGCCCAACGCGGAATCCCAGGGGTTCGGGGGTTCCGAGAACGTGCCGAAGTGCGCTCGAAATTGTCTTTCAAAGAAGATCTCAGAGAACGCCGAGGGAATACTCGGCGTGCCCTGCGCTAAACCTTCTGACCAAGTCGACTCAAACCAAAACTTATGCCAATGCAAGGACGAAAAGTTCGCCGAGGCCTACGCAAATTGCTGCAACGATCATTGTCAGGTAAGTTCTTGGCTGTGTTGCTTTTTCTAATCTGATTTGAGCGGAATAGTAGGTTGATGGAGAATGATTTGTCTTCTCAAATAGGCCGGATGTGAATTGGAACAAGCGTTGAACTCATTCAGCACTCTTTGCGGTCTGCCGGCTAGGCCAACAAGCTGTCAAAACAACCAGAAAAGAGAAAGATTTGTGCTGCTGGTTTGATAAATAAATAACAGATATTATTATAGAAAAAAAAAAAACTACCAACTATCAAATAGGCTTGAAGTAACTTCACTGCATCAAACACTTCATCTACAATCTTGAAAAGAATGCTCCAGAGAATCATATTGAATGAATTTTAAACAGACCGTGCCAAATATGTCACAGCTATGTATTGTTGGAAGGTGAGTGGGGATCCCAGACCTGATGGGGGACCGGTTGGGTTTCTCTGTGGGCCGGCCATTCGGTCTGCCCAGATTGGCAGTCTTACAACCAGGCATTTCATGGAATAAGTGATAGATTTGTTCGAAGAGTGAGTGATCGATCGGAAAAGAGTGATAGGTAGATGGAAAAGAGTAACAGGCTTAATAGAGAGTGAGTGACATTGGAAAAGAAAATTGGCCGGATGACCAAAAAAAAAGAAAAACAACCATCGGACGATTGTGAGAAAAGGAAAACAACAAAGACGTTAAGTTGTATTAGCATATGGAGGCACTGACATGCCAAACGAGCCAAAAAAATTAAAAAACACATTTTGATGCCTCTGAAGTGCCAAACGAGCCAAGGAAAAATCAAAATCACATTTTCACAACCAATCTTTTGAAATACATACCTCTGACATGTGCATACTGGCCAGGCTGTATTCAATTGCATAGGGATGCCAAACATGGTACCAAGACAAAACAGCCATTACATATAACGCAGAGGGTGGTCCTAGCAGTCAAACCGAATGGGATGACGGCCCGGATGGCAAATGTATCCTCCAAATACCAAGGGATACTTGAGGGGCACTGGAAGAATGCTGAGGTGAAGGACTACATAGTGCTTGAGACAAACATCTTTTTTGGCTCCAAGGGTACCGGGCCGCGATTGCCGACGTTGGGACCGGTAAGATCTCTCTGGGACTCAGCAAGATCGAGAAGGCCAACAAGCCTTGCAACATCATCGGCTCTGGCGCTAGCTTTGAAGGAACACATCAGACGAGGTTCTTAGGCAGCAATTATAAACCGCTTTTTTTTTTTTTTTGAGTTTTTTTTGAGTTTTTTTTTAATTATTTTCATAACTTTTTTTAATTATTTTTTGACTCAAACAACTTTCAAACAACCTCCAGGAGGTTGTTTGAAGACGGAAATATGTAAGAATTTCTTATCCAATCGCCTGTACAGGCCTTATGGGACCAATACAGCCCTTATGGGCGGTATCACCCTGTATGCTCATACAGGTGACAGGCATATGTTTTGACAGGTTTTGACCAGGTGTTGCCACTCCTGTTGCATGCAGGATAGACACCGTACCCTGCTCATCCAACGATCAGCAGAGGAGCAATGGACAATTTGTATACGCCGGACGAACCTCCCCCCGAACACACCTCTCATTACCACGATCCAACCGGTTTTCAACCCCTGTACAGCCGGCTCAATCACCAAAACACCGGCGTTTGGAGCGAAACGGCCGGAACTCAGCAGTCCCAGCATCCCGTCCCCGGAGAATTGAATCACACCAGGTACGGTCACACGCCAGTCAATCAGCAAGGCGGCAATTTTTCTGTTGCCCCCGTGAACCTAGGAACTCGGACCGCCGCCTCGGTTCCGCGTGGGCCAGCCTTGGGTCAAGGACGACTAACTCACACCGCATCAGAAACGTACTCTCATCACGCCAACACCGGAATCCAGTCGGGACATTACGAGGCGAGGACCCAGGCGCCCCAGTCCAACACCGGAATCCAGTCAGGGAATTACGAGGCGAGCACCCAGGCGCCCCATCTTCAGCAGCAGTCTGTGCAATTCACACAAGGAACGCCTGCTACCACCTTCCGGCCTGATCTTCAGATCAACGATCCCCACACGGCCCCACTACCTCCGGTTGTTGACCCGGCTCTCCCTCCTGTGCATCCCCCCGCGGCAACCATCAGGCCGGCGACCGGCGTGGGACGAACTCGGAAACCGAAGCGATCTCCTGAGGAGATGCGGATTGCCCAGGTCGTTGCGGCCGAGAAACGTGCACGACGGTTTCAGATGCAAGCTGAAAAGGCTGCCGATGCACGTCAAAAGCAAGCCACTAATGCCGCCAACAAGTTGATCAAGGCGCAGAAGGCCGCAAGCGCGACCCCTCGTCCAACGTGGAATGAAGAACAGACGCTCGAGCTGCTGAACTATGTTAGGATGGTGAAAGAGGATCATAGCCAGACTCGTGTGACCGGGGGGTTTATTCCGTTTGGGAAGTACTTCGCCGCCTATACTGGCCGGGAAGATGCATTCCCCCTCCTGGAGTCCATCTCAACAGCAACCCGGCTGGCCAAATACCGGGCCGTCATGGATAAATGGAAGGTAAACTCATTTCTCTAGCTGCTTGTCTTGGAAATGGCTCTGCTGACCCCGTCGGACTGGACTAACTAGAGAGTGAAGGATGTCGTTGACCGATCCGGAGCCGGTGGTTTATCAAGCGCTTTGGAGGCTGGCGGGGTGTCACTAGAGGTACGTGGGGGAAATTTTCAAAACCAGACGCATGCATGTGCTGACCCTTCCTCTCGTTCAGGTATGGGATTTGATCCTCGACATGCACGGCGATAACCCAGCCGCGACGGGTGATGGTTTGACGTCGTCCTATGCAGATTACGAAAGCCTACTGCAAGAAGAAGTCATTTCAGAGACTTCAGAGGTGGACGGGTCATCATTCAGTGATGACGCCGGGGCCGACAGCCCCCCGGCGACTCCAGCCGCCTCGAAGGGTAGACAAACCAAATATCAGCGCCTTTGTGCCGGGCTGACCCCTGCCGAACTGGCGCTCGACGCGGACTCGGACTCGGGTTCGGATTTGCCAGAAGAGCTCGTACGGCGTCCTGAGGCTACGGTTCCGTCGGCGTCAACCCCAGTGGGACCCACTACCGTTCATACTGTCCAGGCCGCCGTGGGCACCCCGGCCTCCACACCGGGAGGGGCTCGCAAGGGCTCCAAGGGGAAGGCAAAATCCTCGACCTCAAAAGCCCTCATCAGCTGGCCACCAGCCGAAGGTGGCAGTGTACCTCGTCGCCGCGGTCGAACAGAAGAGAAGGCCAAAGAAGAAGATCACGCAGGGACTGGCATGCTCGTAATGATGCACAAGGCTCAGGAAGCGAGCGCGGCGTGGGCTGCGGAGGACAGGCAGCAGCGTATGGAGGAGCGCACGCGGCAGGACACCCTTCGTTCTGAGGAACGTCAGGAACGACAGGCGGAGTTGCGTAGTCTGGAGAGACTTCGAGGTCAGGAGTTGCAGGCGGCGGCGAAGAGGGCCGAGGAGAAGGAGGCCGAGCGAGCGGAGGCCGTCAGGCAGGCCGATGAGGATCGGCACCTACTTCGTCAACAGGCCAGGCTGGATCGTGAGTTGGCCGATCACCAGATGCAGATGGATCGGCAAGCGGCTCAGCTGCGGGCAACTGAGGCCGCTGAGGATCGCAAGCGCGAGCGGGAGGAGGCTGTTGCGCGGAAGGCCGAGGAGCGGAAACGCGAGGACGAACGAGAGGAGCGAGCGGAAAGACAGCAGCAATCCCGGCAGCTCTTTGAAATGGCCATGCTTAAGGCCATGGGCCTGTCAATTGCGCTGCCTGATGGGTCACCGAGGGCGGGCGGCTCTGGCGGGCAGGGCCCATGAAGGGGGGCTCATCATGATTATCTGGGTTGGGGACGGTGTCTGGAGTTCATATATTATCCCTCTGGTATCTTTCTTTATAGTGTTTATGACTGTCACTGCATGAGGCTCAGGGGTCTTTTTTGCGTCTCATCTATGATCGGCTTCATGTCCCTTTCTCTTTCATCCTCAATGTCATTACTGTCTCTCATCTCTCATCGGCTTCATGTCGCTTTCTTTTCTTGGCTCTCATCTTATCATGATGGATGATGTGGTGTCATGCAAACACAAAGATATTCATTGAAAAAGGTCAAATAGTAGTTTGAGGTGAATATAAGTATAAGGCCTAATTGGTGATCTGTCGGGCGCTGGGGGGGCACGGACCAACTTCCATGAATGTATCAAGCTCAAAGAAATGTGGGCAGATGCGCATGAGTTCATCTGACAAGAACAAGGCAATATATCTGGTCAACATCTATATGAAGCAAAATAGGCCCAGGAGTCACTGTTATGTTATGTACCTTTGACAAGAGGATCATCTGCAACCTCCACCCCAGTCGCCGCGAGGAAACGTCTCCCGTCGTTGTATGACATTTGGAAACAGCTGATACGCAAACTCGCTTCTATGAATAAATCAGACTCATCAGCACTCATGAGTTGCCGTTCTTATATCAAATCTATCATACATACCACATCGCTTGCGATGAGTAATCCCATGGCTCATGAATACCGCAAGTAGATCTCGATAGAGTGAAATCTTGTCGTCCCCGCTTTGCCAACGGGCGTAATTATTGCCCGACTTGAGCCACTCGAACAGTAAGGACAGACTGTCCTTTCCCCCGGGGGCCCCATCGTTGATCCATGATATCCCGCGTGTTCGTGACGGCATGTTGGTGCTCAGGTGCTTCTGGTGGGTGAGATTGGAAGTGAGACGGCGGTTGGTTGCTAGTCACGGGAGGTCAAACGTGGAAGACAGAAGACGCTGGAAGTTACCTCCCAACCCTAGTCTTGTGAGGTCCGCAACCGAGCCAGCCGATGGCCGCGCCAAGCAGTTGCAGCTCGGACAGTCGCAAAGGATAGACAATGTCAGATTCCCACCAAGTCGTTGATAGCCCGATCCCGGAAGCCGACCCCATCGCCACAACTCGATTATACACTATGATCGACGACCTCCGCCGCGCTTCCGGGGACATTGGCAACTCACCTAACAACGACCCCAAAAACCTCTGGATCCGCCGAACACACATGGGCCCTGCAGGTGACCCGGTCAAGCAGGTATGCCCCAAAGATCCAGATCCAGATTCCACGGGCGTGTAGGCCAATCCAGCTGACCCATTCCATTGTACAAGAAGGATAAACGGCCAGCCGGCTTCGACACCGAGGACCCACAACCTCATATCCGGCGGAAGAGCAACCCCCCTGCCGATCCCGAGATCAAACCAGACCCCAGCCAGTCCATGCCAATGCCCCCGTCGACCACCGTTGATGAGGACCAACTCGACCAGGCTCGCTCTCGTGGCCGTAGTCCACCCCATGTGGCCAACTGTTTAGCGGCCCCCGTAGATGCCCTCACTCGGCTCGAAGATTTCCTTACTGAATCGGCCATACTCCCCAACGACCGTCACACACGGGAGATATTGGCACAACATCGGATCACAAGGTGGGAGCACTTTATCGTGTCCAACGAGCGCGAACTACTAGCCCTTGGCCTTACTGTGGGCGCAGCCCGAGCACTATGCCAGACTGCTACTGCAAAGTATGCTGAGTAGTCTATTGCTAGAACAAAATTCATTCCCATTACCCACATGATCAAAACAAGCAATGGATTCAAACATTTGATAAATACTTGCAAATGTATCAATGATCTTAACTACCTCTTATAACATAGGCCCCCCTCATTTCGCCCTAGTGGCCCCGGGGGGTATACAACATGTCCCGTATACGATCCCTCCTCGTCCACATTGACTCGCCAGGGGGTGGAGGAGTTAGGTCGTGTTCGGAGACCCGCGGGAGTTCTCCAAAACACAATTCATGCCGTGACCGCTCGTCCCAACCTTGCAAGTAGAGGCTGCCGGTCCGGTTGAGTAGATTGTGCAGAATCATGCACGCAAACGTCGTGTTCCGTGCGCGAATGGGGTTCGCCCTCTGAGCGGTGAGCAGGATGCGGAATCGGTTTTTTAGTCGGCCAAACGCCTGTTCGACCACAATCCGCGTGGCTGATTGAATGTAATTGAAGTATTCGTTCTCCGGAGCCAGGATTGACGGGTAGGGGACAAGTACATTAACATCTGATGGGTAGCCTGCATCGCCGATGAGATGCGCGCCCGTTGGTATCATACTCGGCTGGCCCAAAGCTCGGTTTAGACTGACCCCCAGATCCGAGCGACGAAAGACACGTGTATCATGGATGGAGCCAGCACCTCCCCCGAAGACCTAATTGTGACAGAGCGGCCCATGTCAGCATTGGCCGTGGAATTGGACTGTGGGACCTCATGCTCACATCGCGGAAGTTCCCATCACCGTCGACCACACACTGGAAAACCAACGATGGCCAGTTCTTGCGATTGATGTAGCCCTTCCATCTATCGCCCGGCGGCATGGACAAAGGGATGTGAGTTCCATCAATGGCCCCTACGACGTCCGGAATGCCATGCCGGCTCTCAAAAGACTCCTTGATCTCGTCCCATTCATCGTGCGCATCTAAAGCCGGAAAACTGAAATCCGATTGCGTCAGCATGATGCCACTCACATGATCCCCCTGAGGTTCGACCTACCTGATCGTCCGTAGCCGAAGAATCTTGAGCACGGCTTTGACAAAACGCCCGGTCGCTTTGTCCGCGGTTTCCTTCCCAATGTTGAAGACATGCGAGATGGTGACGTATGTCGCACCATGACCCAAACGATACAGGCCTACCGCAACTTGCGCCTCGACGGTTAAAGGAGCTCCCCGGCGGAGGTGATCCTGGTCCAAAGTCCCCCGCAGCTCTTCACAAAGCCATGCAAAATCGGCCCGGGACATTCTGAAATATTCAAGGAATCGCACCGGAGGTAGCCGCTCGTCGTTCCATGGCTCCCAGCGCTCGGGGCGGATGAATGCCACCCGTTCGGCTCGGATGTAGACTCGACGGTCGATCGTTCGCTGCAGTCTGTTCCAATTCCACAGGGCCGCGAGATGGATGACTGTCGTGGGGTCGATTGGCGGAGGCAGCATTGTGGTCGCACGGTTCAGAGGATGAGGCTGATACAGGCTGAATCCATAAGCAATCTGGCTATGTACTGACAGGATAGCCCAAAATTGGGCCCGCGCGTTTGTAATTCCATGTTGTTTGAGATTTTTTTGAGTTGTTTTTGAGTATCATTTCAAATTAAAAACATAAAAAAAAACAAAGTCAAAAGTTTTTAAAAAAAAACTCAAAAAAAAAAAAAAAGCGGTTTATAATTGCTGCCTTAGCTCTCAGGTTGCTGCCGTCGGGGCCACGGTATCGACCTTCAATTACCTGGTTTCTGCTATACATACTGTGTAGGGAAGCATAAGCAGAATATGGATGCCCGTCAAAGGGGGCTGCAGGGAAGTGCATCATTATCCAGGGATGTTTCAGTGCTTGTTTGGGTAGCTTGGTCGGTTGATTTGTTCAAAAAATGGGTTTTCATTTATTGATTTTTTTGGCACATTTGGCACACCAGTGCCTCCATAGAGAGAAGCAAAAAAAGAGATCGATATGTTCTGTACATACAGCAGGACCTGCCTGTGTGAGCTGTGGTCGATGTTGCTGTTGCCAGTGCTGGCCTTCGTTTCAGGCCGGCTGGTTGGACAGATGGGACTGAGGCTGATGAGGATTGGCATAAGCCGTTGCACCCGCTCGTTGGGAACATAAGGGTCTGATTGGACGTGATCGCCAGCCTGACAACGAAACCGAGATTGTGAAAACAAAGTCAATAGGATACGGAAGCCCACAGGGGACTCCAATCGGCTCACACTTTTGAAAAGTGAAAAGTGAAAAATGAAAATACAGATTTCTGTATTCCATTTAAAATACAGATTTCTGTATTTTACAAATGCAGAATTCAAACATGTATTTTAAAATCACATGGTTTATTACATATGTGTTTGAAGCGATCGTCGAGTGTACAACAACAGCGGCGGAAGAAGTCGGGCTCTGACTCGGAGGGAGAGGAGCTGAAGAGCCGACCGTTTGGGGCAACACCAAGGATGCTCAAGGTGGGACCACTCCCACAGCGGATGTTGAAGGAGCCAGCCGGGTCGGGCAACCAGGCAAGCTCGCAGGTGATGATCAGTTTGCCAAGTGGCAAGAAGCTGATGAACCGGATCAAGAACCAGCAAGAACCGCTTGCATGTCGCGGCATCCAGGTCCACCAGCCCTTCCTCTTCCTCATCAGCCAGTCACCGTAGCTCTTCCCTCAAATATCGTAGAAGGACTATCAGCAGCAGTAAGGGCAAGGAGAAACAGGACGACCATGAGCTCGACGATCATGGCAGGAACCAGGCTGATGGGGGAAATCTGGTTCACTCCTCCAGAGGGCCCGCTGAATACCATCACCCCCCACATCGCCAACCAAGAAGTCCTTCTCCAGCTTGCAGTTGTGCAGGAGTTCTGGGACGGCTTAGGGGCTCTTGTAGCCCGTGCGATCTCAGGAGCTTGTCGGTCAACAAGAATGCTGAGATCGCCGGCTTCTTGGGAAGCTCTGCCCAGATCCCCGTCTGAGATGACCTCGCGTAGCGCGCACTGCTCATCTTGCTCATCAAGTCACCCCCGAATATGTGCCGAGTCTCCTGTGAATAGTTGTGTATCGATATGGAGTCCGTGCCTGTACTGCAATGTGGAAAACCGACATTCATGGGCTATATAACTTTCCTCTTTATGTTTGTGCTAAAGGAGGAGGCCTGATCTGAGAATTCTGTTCTCATGTTTCCGATACCAGAAGGTAAAACACATAATAGACTATGTGATTTGAAAATACATTTTTGAATTCTGAAGTTGTGAAATACAGAAATCTGTATTTTAAATGGAATACAGAAATCTGTATTTTCATTTTTCACTTTTCATTTTTCAAAAGTGTGAGCCGATTGGAGTCCCCTGTGGGCTTCCGTAATAGGAAGCCCGCCGCGCAGGCGAACGCTCAACAACAGCCACAATATGGGCACACAAATAAGTTGTGAAGTATCCAAGAGGGAGTGTCAGGAAGGGAACGTTGGTATGTTGTGGCGGTTGCAAGAGTCCACGGACACCAGAACCTCTCGTGAAGACCCGGAAGCATGACAAATATCCAGCGTCACCATCGAGCTGAATTCATAGCGACGGGCTTTTCAGTCACAATCTGAGGACTACAACAAATTCTTCTGTGAGACTGTGCCCACTGGGCCCTTTCTTCGCCTTTGTCGATCTGCGTGTAGGTCGCAACCCTTGCCCCAGTGTTCCTCCCCCAAGGCCGCTTCATCCACAAGTCTCGGCCACTATTTCTCAGTCTCTTCAAGATTCGTTACATAGCTGATAGATCGGAGCAGAGCTCACCTTCTTTTTTACTTTCGCATTTACACCTATTTTCTTAGCAATAGCTGCCAGATTATTCCCTTTGTCCATACCCACGTTCTTCAGCAGTAGTGTTCAAGTCATACCAAAAATCTTTCGCATTCCACTATGAAGAACCTATTCTTTCTTCTTTCATGTTTGGCCACATTTGATGCCCGAATAATTATAGATGAGTGAGTTGTGTACCCACTTCAACCCTTTCCTTTCACCTCACCGCTGATCAGGCTTTCTGGCTTTCCTAGAACCGTATATGCCCCTGGTCGCCTAGCCCGTAGACGGTTGAACATGGAGCACCAATCGGCTGTAAATAAACTCTCCGGGTTAAAAGATTGTCCCGGAAACGTGTGCGGCACTTTTGGTACGCAACAGCTCAAGTGGCACAAAGTATTACCTCTGTTAACCGGCTACAAATTGTTCACTTGTTTTTTTTAATGTTACAGCTGGACAAGCCATTGCGCCGTTATTGGCTGCCAGCGATCAATGTGCCCAGCAGGACATGGCCGATAAGATTATCGATGCTGCAAAAGTTAGTGCTTGCAAACGTCAATCTGTGCGATTGAGTTGCTGATTGCCTATGACCACCCTTCCAGGACCCTTCCAGCGGTGTGACATCAAAAGAGACTCGTGAAGAAATGATCAAAATAGCCATCGAGTATCGCCAGGTAAGCCTACCCACTAGCACCCGAGTAGCAAAGGCCAAGTCAGCTAACCAAGTCCCATACCCCTTCTATCACTCACCGCAAAAGGCTGAGAAAAATACACATCCGATCTACCCTCAATTGATCCCACGAAATTCGGTATACTGCCAGAAAGCTCCCAAGAATAGCGAGCGGAAAGGATTGGTTCAAAAGCAAGATCCGGCCAACGGTCCGTTGCTATTCTTCGATCACCTGGTCACCACCAATGGAAGCACTGTTCTTTTAGATAGCCAGCCCAACACCCGACCCTTTGGTGGTGCGTTCACTGTTTCTTTTGAACCTCTCCTCAACTGGCAGCTTGGTTGATGAACTAAATTTTGTAACATGTCATAGAAAAAGCCGGAACCAAACCTGGACTTGGCGCATCCCCGACCGACCCAAAAACCACCTCCTCCACTGATGCCGATCCGTCCGGCAACGTCAAGCAGTCTGACACTGGGTCTGGAGGCAGTACCAATACTGCACCCAGCCTGAAAACTACCTCCGGCGATGCCAGTCCTAAGAATTCAGAAACCGGTACGGGCTCGTCCACCAACCCCAAAAGCACCGCCGGTGATGCCGATCCGCAGAAATCTGAAACTGATACCGGCTCGTCCACCAACCCCAAAAGCACCACTGGTGATGCCGATCCTCAGAAATCCGAAACTGATACCGGCTCGTCCACCAACCCCAAAAGCACCTCCACCTCCGGTGATGCCGATCCTAAAAAATCAACCACATCTAATGGCTTGTCTTCCGAGGAAAACGAAGACGATGACTCCTGCGGCGGATCAGGTGATGACCAGAGTGACAACAAGCAAGAGGATAATTCTTCATCTAACAACCTCAAAGATACCACTTCGGGGGCTGACGGTAGCAATGGAGGCAACGGAGGAGACACCGGCAACACGCAAGATTCCGCGTCCCCGAGCTTGAAAGATGCAACCACAACCGCTGGCGGCAACAACGGTGACACTGGCACTCAAAACACTGAAAAGACCGATTCCACATCAACAGGAAATGACAACTCCAACGTGAGCGATGCCACTGGAAAAGGCACCGAGAGTTCAACAACGAGCGGCGGTGAGGACGGAGGGAGCGGAGGTGATGATACTGGAAATGGCGAAAAGCAAGATTCAACATCGCCGAGCTTGAAAGATACAACCACAAGCGCTACCAACAACAACGGCGGCACCGGCGGCCAAAACACTGTAAAGACCGATTCAACATCAGATAAAACCACAGACACCGGTAACGGAAGCGCTGATAATGGCGACAAGAAAGGGGGCACGTTGTCCAATGGAAGCACCGGCTTGAAAGACACCAGCTTGCAACCTGATAACAAGCCTGAGGGTGATGCAGATGACAGCGGTTGTGGGGGCAAAGAGGACGATGAAACTGACACATCGGCTAACAAATCGTCCAGCACCTCAAGTACAGACACCAACGCAAACCCTCAAGGTTCTAAGACGACCTCCAGCAGTCTCACTACAGCATCGACCGGCGACCAAACTCCAAGCTCGCCTGGTAGTGACCCCAAATTGAAAGACACCAGCAGTTCAACATCTGGCAACCCAACACCCAACACCGGAACATCAGCAGATGCCCAAAAAGTCGTTATAGCAATCTTGGGTCATCAACTTGACGTGACCAAAATCCCCAACAAAGATTGTCATGGTTTGTTGACACTTATCTTGACAATTTTGGCTTTGAGTAGAGCACTGACACTGGGATATCTTCTTTGAATAGATTACAGAATTGAATTTGGTTCGGGATTCAAAGGTCGCGAAGCAAAAGATGTAGCTTACCAGCCACTTCAACCAATCTTCGAACATGGCGCTGCATTAAGTGAGCAAATCAATCACATCTGTCATCCTACTCTAACTAACCAACTGATACACTTTACCCTGCAGACATGGCGATCATCACAAGATGTATGTTACCAATTTCTTTGAGCTCCCATAACCCTGCCACTCAGTGACTCACTATCCTTTCATTCACAGCCATGTGCGACAGCCTCCACAACAAATGCGGTGTGTCACAGTCATCTCCAGAGGAAAGCCTTTTCAAAGATTGTGTCCTGTTTTCCGACGGCATAAAGAGAGTTGTCAACAATGGCACAATGGCTGATGCATGGAATTTCCTAGTAAGTCGCTTGCATCAGTTGAACACAATAGAAAAAAATAAACATGAGCTAATATCTCTTTCCCTGCCAGTGGGGCTTCCATACCAACTACGCAACCCAAAAGGCCACCGGTGAAGGCACAGGAGGAAAGGGCGACGGGAAGCCTCAGATTGAGAAATCGGACAGCAACACGTCCTCCTCCTCCCCCACTTCTCCTTCTGCCACGCAGCCACCAAACAACAATTCTAATAAGGGAGCGGGTGGAACAAATCAGAACGGAAACACAAATCAGATGGGAATGGATCAAAACATGCAGCAAAACATGAACCAGAATCAGCCTCAGAGCACAGATCCGAACATGAACCAGCAGGGCATGAACCAGAACATGAATCAGCAGGGCATGGACCAGAACATGAACCAGAACATGAACCCACCGTCTGGCGCACCCGCAGCCGACACCGGACCCCCAGCGGATCCCAAAGCTATTGTTGATAAATTCTTGGGTCATCAAATCAATGTGACCAAAATCCCCAACAAAGATTGCCATGGTTTGTCAATGGGTATCTTGACAAGTTCGGCATTGGGTAGAGCACTGACACTGGGATATCTTCTTTGAATAGATTACAGAATCGAATTTGGTTCAGGATTCAAAGGTCGTGAAGCAAAGGATGTAGCTTACCAGCCACTTCAGCCAATCTTCGGCCATGGCGCCGCATTAAGTGAGCAAATCAATCACATCTGTCGTCCTACTCTAACTAACCAACTGATCTACTTTACCCTCAAGACATGGCAATCATCACAAGATGTATGTTACCAATTACTTTGACCTCCCATAACTCTGCCTCCCAGTAACTCACTCTCCTTTCATTTACAGCTATGTGCGACAGCCTCCACAACAAATGTGGTGTGTCACAAACATCTCCAGAGGAAAGCCTTTACACAGATTGCATCACGTTTTCCGACCGCATAGGCAAAGTTGTCAACAATGGCTCAATGGCTGATGGATGGAATTTGCTAGTAAGTCACTTGAAAGCAATCAAAAAAGAAGCATGATCTAATATCTCTTTTCATTTCAGTGGGGCTTCCATACCAACTACGCAACCCAAAAGGCCACCGGTGAAGGCACAGGAGGAAAGGGCGACGGGAAGCCTCAGATTGAGAAATCAGACAGCAACACATCCTCCTCTCCCACTCCTCCTCCTGCCACACAGCCACCAAACGATAATTCTAATAAGGGAGCGGGCGGCGGGACTCAGAGCGGAAACACAAATCAGATGGGAATGGATCAGAGTGGAAACATGCAGCAAAACATGAACCAGAATCAGCCTCAAAGTACGGATCCAAACATGAGCCAACAAAACATGAACCAGAACATGAATCAGAACCCTGGTGGGGACCAGAAGCAGGGAGGCAAGTAAAATCTTGAAATCCCAAGTCCGGCAAATCTTAATCCAACGTTCCATGTGATGAGACCCGGCACTTATTTCTATCACGATCTAGCACATCAATCTTAGCCAATTGGGCCCCTGCTATCATTCTAAACCCACCTTTTGCAATTGCCTCTTGAAGAAGCGTGCATCTGTAGAACTTGTAAATAGTAGCTGTAGCCCCCTTTTCCCTAATTTGATTTGTATCTCCTCTCTTTCCTTTCTCTCCCTTGCACAAACTGGCCAGCTGTGAATTTCCGTTCTATCTCATCTCCGACAAGCTTGATTGAACCCATTTAATTGCCATCAGCACTCACTCACCTAATGTTTCCTCTCAAGAAAGTGTTCTTCTCGCAAGTTCCTCGGTTTTAATCCAATCCCTTGACACCCCAAATCGCAAAAGACATGGTGCCACTGTGACTGAAGCTCCTTTTATTGAGTAAAAGGATTGAAAGTCCAACAGCATCCGTTCGACTAAGTATGTGTTGCCGCTTTTTTCAATCTCCTAAAAACAATCACAGCCATGATGAATCTCGTAGTAATTTTGATTGCAAACAAAAGAAAGAAAGGAAAAAAATAGACACTCAAAGAATAAAAGGTCTGTGTGTGTAGTAACGATTGAAAGGACTGACGAGATATCAGCTTATATAGCTGGAGTTGGAACCCAGCAAGCATGGCATTAGTATTGAAGAAACATAAGTACTATTAAATTGGTAATTCTGAGATCAGCTAGTATAAGAGTTGTCTTCTAGAACTAGTCTGTGAGTTACTCTCTGATTAATTGCTTGATTTATCAGTCTAAGATAGATGTAGTATCTTTTGATCTATTTCTATATAAGCCATACATATAATTATCATGTATAGGCAATTGAATATTTTGTGTCCAGTTCATGATATAATTTGTCTATGATTTAACCCAATAATATTGGTGAGGTTTATTCTGTTATTTTTTCAGTTAATATTGATGTGTAATAAAGCATTTTTATTTATGGGCTATGGGTTTGTTTTTTCTTACCACACCAATCCAATAAATTGGCCGATATTATATTGGATTGGATCGGTTTCACCGTTGCTCACTCTCAGCGCATCGCCCTTACTTATCCTTGCCCTCCTCCTGATTTTTGTCTCCCCCATACTCCAGCTTCTCTCTCCCTCACCCAGACTGCTCCGCTCCTCCTCCAGCCTCTATTTTTTGCCTTTATTGCCTCAGAAACCCCATCTCTGTCAACAAACTTGCCACATTTCCCAAACCCAACATAACTCAATCTCTACCATGGTCAACAAACAAAGCGCGAGGAGACAACAGACATTGTTGATCATACAAATCAGCCAGCTCCAAGCGGTAATGCCCCAAGCACCTCCAACCCAGCAGCTCCAAGCGGTAACACCTCAAGCGCTCTCATTCCAGCAGCTCAAAGCAGCAACACCCCAAGCTTATCTTTAACTTTAGATAACTCAGTCACTTAAAGCACCCAAGATGGAGAGCAAAACTTCACTGCTCAAAGCGGTGTCAATGAACAGCCTGAGTCCCCACTCCCAGATGCAAGAGGCAATGAATTCCTTGATCTTTTAATGCAAGCGCCGGGTGAGTTTTTCTTGTACATTGGTCAAACCAACTTTCATGAGAAAGCGTATTAATTAAGCGTGTTATGTATGTCTTAAAGAGCTATCAAAGCAGACTCGCAAAAATGTTATAAAAAATACCAACACTGTCCCCAAGATCACCATCAATGAACCAGAAGAATGCACCCACATCTGGGCCAAGGCCAAAGAAGCCCAAGCGTCAGGAGATGATATCTTATCCAAATCTCTGCTCAAGGCCTATGGAGACCTTGCGACACCAGCCAAACCTCCAACTTTGAGGTCAGTCTTGGCACACCCTGTGCTCTTAACAACGCAACCCTTGCGGGTGGCATCAAAGGAGACCAAAGTTGAAGATGACTTGATCTACGTGATTGGGATGGTCACAAACCATCAAGATATAGGCTTCACACCCTTCTTCAATGAGAAAATCAAGAATCTCAAGGGGCCCCTCCCCCTTATCATCTTTGACAGAGAATGGCAAAAAGAGGCCCTAGCTGCACACTTGACGACACGGCCGTCCAAGTCCTCCAAAGACAAGGCATACAGAGGCTTGTCTTTCCACAATGAGTGGACGCAAACCCACTCAAAATGAACCAACAATCATCAGATCTTCCATTTAACCCTCCGCAACGTGTACAACAAAACACCATTTGCTGAGAAACTCCTCATCCACAAACGAAATTGTGACAAAATATCTGACAAAATTGGCTTCATGACAGCTTTCTGCTACAACATGAAAGTCTGTGCCAACACACTTCCTCACTGCGTGCAGTCCAAAGACAGAGCAGCAGTTTCAGATATTTCAGTCAAGCAAAACTTGGTGGCTGAATGTTGCTACAATAAAGTTTGCTTGGCAGGCAAGACCAAATGGACCAACAATTACTGCACTTAAAGATGGCCCATGGGACCCGGGTACCGACTGCTTTTTTTTGGCCAAAACAGACACTGGGTACCGCACCCGCTCAAGTATGACGGATACCGGCAGTACTCCTGGCTGCCGGAGCTTCTTCCAGGCAACCTGGTTGCCAAGGAGGTTCCTTACCGGCAACCTGATTGGTCTTGATCAGGTTGCCAAGGAGGGGTCCTCTCCAGAAACCTGGCCAAGACCAGTTAGTCTCGGTCAAGCCACCAAGGAGGGGGTTTGGGGGTGGGTACCGCCTGCTTTTTTGCCCAAAAGCCGGCACCGAGTACCGCACCCGGCGCCTGTTGGTGGGTTCCGGAGGAGTGGAGGCAGTACACGCCAACGGGTCCCGGGTACCGCCCAAGGGGTACCGCAAGGCCATCTTTAACTATGCTCCGGGAGGGTCCCACGCGGGAATTGACCCGGACACCGGCAGAGAAAAACCGCTTCTACGATTGGCTTCTCACAATGGGTATGGAGGGAGAGATGGAGGCCATTGGGGATGCACAGAAGTTTGCCATTCAGGCGGCTTTGACAAACAAGGACTGTACCACAGTCCACAACATCCAGACGTTTATTTCAGGATCAATCACCAAGGCTACTCTGACAACCAGGGTAATCGAGGTGGTCATAGCTATGGTCAAAACGATAATAGATACTCTTCAGGATTATCCTCAGGGCTGTCAGAATTCAGGAAGAGGTTAAGAGGTTACCAGGACCCAGGAAACCCCCTATAAATGTCAGTAACCAAAATGTATGAATTTTTTGGCAAAAACCCAAAATGATACTCACCAAAAATGTATGAATGGGCCTCTTTGGGCAAAATGTTACTCACCTGAAATGTATGGAATTTTTGGGGAACAATGTAGGTTAGTAACAAAAAATGTATGATTTGTTATTATTATCATTATTATTTCTTTTTTGCAGCCCCCCCCCCCCCCCCCTCCCAGTGACCCATCATGTCACCCCCCTTGAAGATTTTTTAACACCCCCATCAGATTTTTTTAACGCCCCTGTCAGTTTTTGGCAAAAAGAATTCCTAAGAATCAAATCTCTCAAAAAGAAAAAGCTGATGATAGTTAGTAATTATTAAGTTCCTCCCACTACATACTGTATGCAATGGCAAATATTTCTTGATTTTTTTTTTCATTTTTCAAAGCCCAAGTTGATAGCAGGAATGACTAGCTGTAAAGAAAGTTTGGCTATGTGCTTCCTGGCAGGAAAAAATGGTGCAGACAAAAAATATACAAAATTCTAGCCTCCAGCCAAAAAAAATGTTAGGCACAAAAATTGTATGAAATTTTTGGCTGACCTCTGAGCCTAGGCACAAAACGTGTATGAATGAGTCCCAAAAATGTATGAATTTTCTGAAAATCTGGGATTTTAGGTTACTGACATCTACAGAGGGTTTCCTGGGTCCTAGGTTACCAAGGGTCTAACTTCAACGACAAATACATTGATAAGAGAAGTATTACTGCTAAACCAGCCTATCAGAAAGGTGGGGGCAATCCGAGCCAAGGGAAATTGTAGGCTACAATCATAAAAGTTTTTTTTTTTTTCTTTCGATCTCACTATCCAGGTGATCCATCGTGTTGTAGCCATATTCCATGCACATAGCAACATAAATTGTGCACAATAAACAATAGAATAGCTATTTCATGCTTTTTTTGTGCATTAATTTTCATTAATTTGTTTCCATTTCCTTTGTGTTACCCTTAGGGTGGTTGTTGATACATTCCTGAAATACAACAAAGTACACAACATTTGTAAATGACACAAGCTGGCCTGAATCAGTGAGAAGCTAGATGAACATCCCTGCCTGGGAGTCTGCTCTAGCAAACACAGGGTTGCTCCCCCAGTTACAAGGAGTCATAGATGGGTTCAAATTTGGTTTTGATCAAGGTATACCGGCCCACAGGTCAAAAGAACTAAGGTGGTACACTCCAGAGAGCCACAGCTCAGCCATAATGGCAAAGGAAAAGATCTAATTGTTGATTGCAGAAGAAGTGAAAGCAAAACGGATGTTTGGCCCTTTTACGCATGAAGAGGTTGCCCGGTGTTTCCCATTTTTCCGTACCAGTCAGTTAGGATCAGTAGGCAACACAGATGGGAAGATGAGACTTATTAAAGACTTGTCCTACCCAAAGAGAGACAACTCCATCCCATCAGTGAATTCATTTGCTGACAAGGCTGATTTCAAAATAACTTGGGACGATTTCAATATCATTGTGGATTTCTTTTGGAAAAATCCAGAACCTTTTGAACTGGGCCTACTCAACTACCAGACACTGGGCAGACACGTGTACAAAGAAATTGAAATGTAAATAGGTTGATTTCCCAAAATCTATGATGATGTAAATAAACACAAAAGGTGAATCAAATCATTCCACCCAAGCCCATAAACCCGCCCGCGTAAGCCATTGGCTTGATATTCGGATGAGGCTGGTGCTTGTAAGAAGTGAACTCCAAGGTTCCATGCTCATTAATCCGAACGAAGCCGCCCTGGTTACCTACTTGATCAACATAATTCGGCGCTGAGAAAACAGTGATACATCGGCCGTCGTGTTCTATCGAATAACCCGCGTCTCGCACTTCATGCGATCGGATAACAGCTGTTTTTGTTTCGAATTTTTTTTTTTTTTTTTTTCGTGGGCACAGAAAGATACAGTAAAGAACACCCTGGTCAGAATCGTGTGACTGGCGGGCCGTACCCAACTGCGATTGGCGCAAGCTTACCAGTGACACCGGAATGACGGCACCAATTCTCGGTAATATCAGGTCCGAAGCCCAATCCGACACCGCGTTTAGATGGCCCACGCCCCGGAGCGTCCTGAGGATCGGTCCAAAGACACTCCATCATCAAGCCCTCGCTTCCCGGCTGTTTCTTGACCATCCTAGGAATCTTCCGTAACTCATCAAACGTCACTTCGTCCTTCGAAAACAAGCCCCCATGGACGATGAAGAACCGCTTCCGCCCTTGCGGATCAAAAAACGGTTTTGCTGGGATCTTGGATACCAAGGTTGATTCGGGTTGCTGAGAGGCAGTCACGAGACAACACAGTGGCACTGAAAGAAAAAATATACATCAATGAAGGTAAAAATTCAATCACCATTCGGCTTTCTTCATAATCCAAGTAACCTGTCTACGGCAAAGAAGAACCTACAGGCACAGAATACTTCTTCAAATAACTTGTAGCAAAGTTCACTGTATTTCTTTTTGGTCTGGATAAATAGAAAGCAGGACTCGTTAGTAGTGCATTCCTCGGGCGGATCTCACACACAAAACTGTGATCAGGAGCTGGATTTAAGTTTGGAAGTCCCACCTCGCCTTCAAATCCGTAAACCTTATTCATATCAGCGGTCTCGTGGTTGCCTCGGTTAAGCTGTCAATGCAGGAAAAAGGTTATGAGGTTTGTCATACATGGTACAATGAAATGATACCATAAACTTACGAAAACCTTGTGGGGCATATACCATTTCAATGCAAACACTGTCAAGACAACTTCTGTGCTCCAGCTTCCCCGATCGACAAAATCACCATTGAAAACTAGCAGAACGTAAAGTTTACGGAGTTGAACAAGGGGGGCACGAGTAAGATGAACGAACGGAGTCTTACTAACCGAGAGCATGTGTTTCAGAGGGGAGACCAGTTAACGAAAGTAGATGTAGAACATCGAAGAATTGACCTAAGTTGAAATCAAGTGAGCAAATGGTTCCCTGAGACACTGAATGATCGAGTCGCACCATGAGTATCTCCGATTCTAGTCAGAAAGATGTTACATGTCAAACATGATTATAAGTAACAAAATGCGGGCTAGGACACAGTTATACATTAAGATTGGTTTGGACATACACATCGCAAGTTTCACCTTTGGGGATCGTGTATTCAGTCAAACTAGCTTCTTTCTTCAAAATTTCGTAACATCCTAAGATAATCTCGTATATCCATCGTTTGGGCAATGTTTTACCTGCTTTGAACCACTCGAGCATTTCCTCAATGAACTTCAATGAAGGTTTCCAGCCATTCCCTGTTTTTTCCAACATTGGCCCAGCATATGAACTGTCAAGTTCGCAAGCACCTTCTGAGATTAGCTTCTGGATCCGTTTCGAGGTCGCTTCCTCATCTTCTGAGGCTATTGCCTTTTCGAAATCCAACCTTCTGACCAGTTTCGTTGTAGCATCTAGTTGAACTTTCGCGGCGGCATTGCCGGGATCGAGAGACATGCACTATATGCCCCCAGAAAGTCAATCCAACCATGAGGGCTCTGATAGACGGGTATAAGAGGGCTGAGGACTCCGGCGGTTCAAAGACTGACTTTTTTGAAATCCTTGATTGCTAACTGAGGTTTCATGATACTCAATTGAGCAGTTGCTCTCCTGAAGTATGCCTTGACATATTTGGGGTCCAACTCAATAGCCTTGGCTAAATTAATCACAGTGGAAGAAAAAAACTGATGTTAGACGCGCGCAGTTCGATTAAAATCAGTGCGAGTTCAGAAATGGTACAAACAGGTATCCATGATTGCCAAGCCATGTTCTTCTCGCTTCAACCGGACGGCAGAACCTATCAATAGATATTGAGGCCGATAGAATTCAGTCCATGTATCACTGTATATTCGGCTTGGATGGGGGGGCTCATAAGGACTAACGGTTGCACCAAACGGTTGCGTCAAATGGGTTCAGGTTGATAGAGAGGGTATACAGGTCGAGAGCTGGAACAGGAGATGGCGTCAACTATGGACTCGGAAACTTCAAAGATTCAAGCTTAGCTAATGGGGAGCTCGTACCCTCCTGGTATTGAGATGCTGGTCATTGATTCAATTCATCCAGGTGTAAAAAAGAAGATATGAGTGATCGGTTGCTGAATCCGCTTATTTCCTTACTCAGCTCACCGGTAAACCGCTTGTTGGCCTCACTTTTCAGGCGAAGGGCTTCCTGTTTATATTCAAGGACGACAGTGAGTAAGCTAGTTTTCTCTTTCTTTCTCTCCCTTTGTTGTTCAAAAAACCATGGAAGGACTAACAGCTATGGTTTCTTCACTGAGTTGACTTTTATCTGTTGGACGTACTCCGTTGGAGACGTCTGACGCAACGGATGTGCCATCGAGTGAGGGATCATATGCACTGTGAAAATACCAATCGGAGCAAATTAATGAATTCATCCTCGTCATAATCAAGACAATGTGATTTGAAGTGAGGTGACCTGCCTGGCTCCAGATCCTGTTCAATGTTTGAAGCGAGTTGTAGGGTCTTGTCAGTTCTACATCTGTCCGGACCAACTGAATGATTCATGAAACAAACGATTGATAGCATGCCTAGAGGTGCTCGAGAATCCCCGGGTGGTGAGGAGCTATTCGATGAGTCGAGTGATGGCGGTTGGGATCCGGTGGGAGATTGGGTTGATTGATCGATTGAGGATGAGCTTGATGACATCTTGTGTTGGTTCTTGGGTGTCGGCGGTTTTCTCGCCAAGTCCTGTCTCTCCAGTAGTGTGCTTTCCTTCCGACGGTCAACAGCGAGCCGGTTGAAATTCATCGGAGCAAATTGAATACCGAATTGCATACCACTCGACTCACCTGCCGCAGCAACTAAAACAGTTTAACAACCAATCACAAATGTATTTATCAAAAGTTCCATGTGCATCACTAGTTCACCAGAGCTCACAGGGATGGGCTTGGCACCCACCACCTCTAAAAAGAATGGGTCCCTCCTAGTTTGATGGCAAATCCTGCTCAAGAACCAGGCTGAGGTACCCAAAGGATCATGAGCTGCTTCAGGAAATCAACACCCCAGCCTGGGAGAAGCCCCAAAAACGTTTGGGTTTTTGATGAAAACAATCCCTCAAGAAATTTGTCCAGAACCCTCTCAAATTTTCCAGCCAGATACTGCATCCACAACTCAACCCAGCATCTGGTTGGGTATCACTGCGGTCTGGATTGGCCAGGTATAGAGCACATTCTAATTCCAAGCCTCTTCCAGTAACTCACCCTTCAAGAGGAACTGGTGTGTGTTTCTTTATGGAAAAAATAGTGCAGATCAATTTACAGCTATGAAATTCCCTCCCAGGAAACTATTCAGTGTAGTGGGGTTCATGAGTGGCATTTATCATATAACTTTCCCAAACCAGCAGGGCTGGCTGCAAAGCTTAAAAACAGTAAAAAAACACACTTGCTACAACTTTTTCACCATTAAGCCACATGTTGGGCACTTGTGACATATTGATAATTGGATGTATCAAACTCCTACCAAACTTGCAAATTCTTCACACTACATACAAGTAAAATCCACCATTCTTACATGCTCCCAACAGATGAAGACCCTTGGGTAAAGACTTGAGCTCCCCACAATTGTTGAGCCGGGGGTAAAAAGTCTGCTTACACCCTGGTCCTACACAGGGATGTACATAAATTGTCAGTTGACAGGCTTAAGAAATCTGAAGAGGCTTGAAGTTGAGAGGAACTAAAGCCTCTGATTCAATTGATCAGTACTCATGGCATGTGTGCTTCCTGCCAGATCATTATATACTAGGCCACATACATAAAATCAAATCATGTAAGAAATTAAATCATGTAGCAGCACCCTGGCAATGAGTGCTCTAAAGATGAAGGATTTTTGAATCTTCAACCCATCCCTCCCCACACTTCAATCACATCACCTCCCATAAACTCTGTCACAGCTCCCCTGCGAGTCTACAGCCACATTTAATTTGATGGCCGTGACTTGCAGCTTTCCAGGGTGTCCTTGGGATTGCAGACCCACTGATCAGCCCATCACTGTAGTCCACCCAAGTCTGGTCCAGCCTGACGATATGCATTGCTTTGTTCTGCCACTTATGATGGGGTGGCAATGGGATTGACACATCCTCTGAGTCTAACATGTATATGTTGATCATCAAATGCCCCCAATTGAGACGTTTTTTTATATATATTTACAATCACATTCGAAAAACTATAGATTAAAACCGGTCCCAGGTGTTTTGTTTTTTCAGCACTGTTCAATCCAAAGATAAGTCTTGAGTCAGCTGGAGCCACAATGGGAGCCCAAATTCAAGAAAGCTGCCTTGATGTGGAGAATAAGTGACCATGACATGCGAGCAACTCCATAGCTACCAATGATGGCCCGCGGAGTGGGTTTGTCACAAGTGGGGAGACCCCAAGGAAGCTGGGATTTCCACTATCTCCCCAAATTGATACCATGCTCCTTGATACCTCAGCACACATTATGTCTGATCTGCAAGCCACTTTTCAGCACATTTATCACCTGAATTATATAGCTTTTGTGGAACTTCATGGATCATTGGTTATGGACTCAATCCTAGCTTTTCAAACAAAACATACTGATATAAATGATAGATGCCATGATAGGTAATGGCTGTAAAGTTTGAGTATGGACTGGCCCTTATTCATTTTTCTGCAGTGAGACATCGTCATTCAGATAGATCATGTGGGAGGATCGCTCTCATTTTTTTTTACATATTTTTATGAAAAAAAAGAAAGATAAAAAAAAAAAGATGAATGAAATAAGAAGGGAATTACAGTACTAGGGATGAATGAATACATAACTACATACTAAATATATTCATATATATATCTATGTACACATTTACAAACATTTATATACGAGTTAACGTTTTATCTTAAAGGAATTCATTTTGTTTTTATTTTGATAGTATATATTATAAAAAAATGCTAACCGAGCGAACGAAGAAGAAAATCTATGTGTGAATACTAAATACTATCGGAGATGAAGCGAACTAAACGAAGAAGGAATAAATCAATAAACGGCGTGATGATGAGGGTTAGATAAGGAAGTGATGGTGGAAGCGGGAGAGAGAGGGTTAAGACGTCGGAGGTCGAAGCCGGTCCTGAGTTCGGTGGGACTGGCGCAGACAAGGTTGTTCGCAGTCCGGGCGGCTCGGTCAGGACGAATCCGAGGTGGTGGGCGTCGATCTCCGGGATTCTTCTTGTGCGCCTTGTTGGAGTGGGTTGGGGACCGCGACGGATCGTTCTCTGGGTTTGTTGTTCCGGTCTCAATAGGATCGGCTCTGGGCTTATCAAAGACTGCTGAGAGATGGGATGGGTCGACAGCCCCAAGAATCGATCGATGGTCTGGTGGAATGCTATCTCTCGAAGGTTGATTGGTGCTCATGTTCTGCTGAGAAGATTCGTGATCGGAGATAGCTTGGATGGTCCTAAATCTAGTGTCGACGGTATTCATGAGATCAAGACGATCGGTTGCCAGCTGATTTCGTTCTCTCGTCTCAGGGTGGGAGGTCCTAGGAGGGTATGAGTGTGGGTTTTGGACGTCAGCCACGACGGCTGATAGCGATCCATGGAGGTTGCTCGGGTTGGAGAGGCGAGTGTGGTGATGGCGAGTGGAGCGCTCGCTCTGGTAGTCCTTCTTCTTCCGGACCACCCGGTCATGGTCCCCACTGTTCGGCAACCCTCGCGGCTTCCGTCCGTTCTCATTGTCATCATCATCATCCTCCTCGTCGTCCTGATCATCTGAGTCTAAATCCGACTCGCCGCTCAGGAATCGGCGGCCATCCTCCGGCTCGAGTTCTTCGGGATTGAGGCTCGGCTTGTGTTTGATGAAGGAGTCGATCAGCAGGAATTGTAAGACGTTCAAGATCGTCGGGCCGACCATGACGACCATTAGGATCTGGATCTTCGGGTCATGACTGATCCCCTCGATGACCCCGTTTCCAAACTTGATCAAGGCCTCCCCACCCAACCAAAATAAGCCGATGACAAATAATTTGAGGATGACGAGGCCGAGGAAGTAAATTGAGATCTGCTTGATCCATGACATTAAGAATGGATGGGGATAGATTCCGGAAGATAGGCCGAGGCTCGAGGGCGTTCTTCTCAAGGTCTTGCAAACCAGTTTGGTGATCGTGTTGAGTGCTAGAAATAGTACGAATACCCCGATGGTGGTATCGATGAAGATGTTCATGAAATATAAGGCGCACGGGTTCCCTTTTGATGGCAAGGATGCCATGGAATCTATCAAGAGTTTAATGGTAATTTTATCAGTAATTAGATTTTTTTTTCCGCTACCCAAACTTGACAGGAAATGAAAAACAAGCTCACCTGAGATGAAGATGTTGAGCATATGGACGAAGGCTTGTCCTATGACCTGCTTGGAAACGTCTGCAGTCCAGATATGATATTTACCTGCAGAAGAAGAAATTAAGCTACATTGGGCAGACCGAGTGGGATGAGATAGTAAGACGTACGTTTAGGTTTCTCCCTGTGTCGCTTGTAGAGTAGGCTGGCGAGGATGATGAAGGCCATGATGGCTTGGATGAGGATTGAGAATGGGCCTAGGAGTGAGCATGTTTCGGTGTCCAGCTGGGTTTGAGGGATGGTTGAGATGGAGCTGATGAGCTTGTTTGATGAGCCTGGTCTTGAGTTGATCCTCGATGTGGATGGGATGGGTTCGTATGCTGAGATGTCCATGGTTGGATGGTTTGTTTCTTTGGTTGGTTGGTTGGTTGTTTTTTTTTTTGGTTGGTGGTGGATATTATTTAAGGAATATTGGGTTGGGTGTTGGGTGGGTGTTCATGGGTTGCTGTGTACCACTCCCACTGAGATCTCCTTGGCGTGAAACTTGGCTTAGCAACCCTCCCTCCGCCAGTCACCACTCACCAGTCACTTGTCATTCCTAGAATACTGCCATCTCATCCACTCATGAATTTCTGTACCTGAGCATAATCCATCCAGACCTAAATCTCAAGAGCAAGAACATAGTCAGACGCCCCCTTCAAATATACACTTTCAGATCTACATACCTTAAAACATCCCTCTCCTAATTGATAAGCCCAACTCAGATTATCTTTCGTTGCTCTTCTTCCGAGCCAGCTCATCTATCTCCACACATTCAAAAGTTCATTTCTTATCAAAAGACAAATCAAATCAAATAAAAATAGTAAAAATGACATTACATAACAAAGAGTATATAACTAACAGGATACATACATTCAATCTTTTTCTCTTGCTTTCTTTGTCTTCTTTTGAGAGAATAGAGAAAAATGACATTGATCAATTATATATGGAGATAATGTAACGAGCTCGTGTACAAAAAAAATGGAATCATGCTCGAAATTCTCTCTTTCACCATCCCTCACTCACCCCCAAAACCCACAAATATACCACTTGTCAGTAGAAAACAATTGAAATAAAAGTATATATGAAACCAAAAAAATTAAGAATGATCCAAACAACCATCTTGATTTAGTTAGGTGTGAGTAGAAAACCAAAAAAAGCAGGCACAAAAAAGACAAAAGAATGTAGGACGGTTTTGAGGAGAGGAAGGGGAAAGGAGCAGCATATCGAAGGGTTTAGTATTTCATTGTAGTCATGCCCAATCTTTGTCGATGATTCTGTGGATGAGTTGGACGGTCATCTGAATCCAGCTCGTCGTTTTCTTTCTGGAAAGCTGGAGTAGATTGAGTGTTCTGAGTGTCTTTTAGGGGAAGCGATTGTTGGTCAGGCTTGATGGGCCCGTTCTGAGCCGGTTTGGAGTCCTCGAATTGGACGGTTCGATGAGCTTTGTTGTCCTTTTGAGCTGTCTGATGATGATGATGTTGTTGTTGCTGTTGCTGTTGTTGGGCAAAAGGGGATGGGGAGGAGGGAGGAGGCTGGTTGATGAGGATTTCCTCGACATAGTTCTTCGGGAACCAGCCGATCCGGCCGTCCCTCGTTCGACCTTTCCACCATCCCATCGACCTTCTCTCTTCGATCGACATCGGTAAGAGCACCGCAATCACCTCGTTCTTCTCAAACTTCAACTCCTTCTCGATCGGATTCAGTTGATTGATGTCCTCCTCTCGAGTGGTGGGATGATAAGGATGAATAGCCTTGACGAAGGTCAGCTTGCTAGGATCGACTGAGAGTGTGACTTGCTGCTCGTTTGAGATCGAGGGGTTTAACGGATTGGGAGGGAAGGCGGATTGTCGCTGTTTCTGTTTGTTGATGATCGATCGGACCAGTTTGTTCATCAGGTAAGGGATTCCGAAAACCGTCAAGAAGAAGATGACGATCGGTTTTCGTGATGGTCGGGGTGTATTGGTACCTTTGCCTTCGGAAGAGCCGGCCAAGTTCCTCGGATCGAAGTTTTTGAAAGTGTCAGACCAAGGGTTTCGATCTGATGAGCTGTTGGTACCGGTGATAAAGCCTTTGGCCCATTTGAGCAGATCGAATAAGCTTAGGATCTTGCCGATGCTAAATTTGAAGAGGTTGAATTGTTCGATCAGTTGGATAAAGGTGAAGAAACTCGAATGGGTCATCATGAAGGTAGATTCGAGTAGTTGACTGAAGCCAGAGAAGGCCATGACGAGGGATTCGAGGAGTTGGAAGGTGGATTGAGTTGAATTGGCGAGCGTTTGGCTGAGTGTTGGTTGGATCATCGATGGGTCGACTGGGCCATTAATGCCCATCTGATTGTTCATTCCCCCATATCCACCCATCCCGCCGAATCCACCTAGACCTCCGTATCCCATCCCGCCACCGTAGCCACCATACCCTCCTCCGTATGAGTTGAGTCCACCGTAGGAGCCCAGCCCACCCATCCTCGAATAACCACCGTAGGGCGAGGTGCCACCATAGCCGCCATAGCCCGAAGACATGCCGTATCCTCCTCCGTATCTGGATGAATACTGTGGATTGATGAAAAAAATTAGGGAGGGTTTCTAAAAAAACAAAACAAAACGGGATCTTACGGGACTTCCTCCAGCAAACGACGAGGAATAACCTGGCAAAGGATAAAGAAACGGCAGGATGATTAGCGCTTGCTTTTTCTTTTTTCTTTTTCTTTTTGTTTTTTGGACTGATGGCGACGTACCGGCTGGATTGAGTGGGCTACTAGAAGGTTGGAGTGAGTTTGAGTTTGAATCGAGCAAGGTGGATGGTCTAGGAGGAAGGCTTGGTACGTTCTGGTCGGAGGAGTTTGTTGATGATGATGATGGAGTAGTGGGTTGATTTGTGAGTGAGGAGCTGGTCGTGGTGCTGTTATTCCCTGCACGTTCCCATGGTTTAGGAGGCGAGACGGCCATCGCTTCCTCGTCCACTCTTTTGTCGTGTTTTTGTTTTCTGTTTTCAGTCCGTTGACTTCAAATATATTTTGAGTTCGTTTATGTTGTCTTGTTCTTTGAAGTGGTTGGTTTTTTTTTGGATGCCAGTGGAGTTTGAATTTCTGTTGAGCCAGTTTGCTGCCGGCGACTTGCTCCAAGGGGGGCTCAAGTACCACAGTCAAATTGGCCAAACACCCTAACTTGTACCAAGTCCCGCGCTTCTGCGGGCCTGGTGACCTGGGCTGGCTGGCGCCACTCGCGAAGCGAGCCTCCGAAGGAGGGACTTGTGACAAATACGCACAAGCGTGCGTGTCGCTATCGACATGTTTTGGTGTAGCGATTTTTAGATCAGCCACCATGCATGTAGTTTTGGTTTTTTGGAAGGCAAAGTCAACATGGTCAAAGGTGACCATGTTGTCGATCTCTCATCAAATTTTCAGGGACTTTTCCTGAAATCTGGATGAGTAAGATTTTTTTGAAAAATATGAAAAATTGAAATAAATCAGAATTAAAGTTGAGCTCCGAGCCTTGAGAAGCTATTACATAAGCAAAAAACACAAATTTGAGCGGATTCTTGGACATTTACAAAGTTTCCCTAGAATGTAGTTGTACATGTTTCTGGGTAATTTCTTGATGAAAATTTACTTTGGCATCTGGGATACATTGTGCCAGATTTTTCCTCTATGAAAGTTAAGAAAGCAATTTATTAGAATTTTCCGCACAAAAAACACTCAAAACTGGAAAGCGACACGCGGGCGTGTTCGTTTTTGGCACAAGCCTCTCCCGCACTTCGTGCGTTCGACGGAGAGGCTGGGCAAGCTAGCCAAACACCGTGGCCACCTTTCCCAGCGGAACAAGCACTCTGCATACACATTCAAACAGCTTCCAACTATAAAATTACCCTCCATTGCCACCCATAATAATCAAAAAATGACCCATGCTCGAGTCTCTGATCATCCAACAAGGCATACTACCAGAGGCATGAAACATCCCCAGCATACCAATTATTGGGGCCAAGCACTCTTGCATCTAGTTACATTGATTATAACCCTACCACCTGCCACAGCTCTTCCCTATGATACTTGTCCAAACATAGTTATAAGAGAAAGGCAAAGCTGGAAATGTTCAGCGCAAATGACCTGTATAGGATGTCAAAGATCACTCCCAGAATGGAAATGCAACCACGACAGAATAGGCAGAATCTTCACATGTGTGGAACACATTGCTGGTGAACTTTGGGTGCCATATCAGCTGTGCAGTGAACCAAACATGCATTTCTACCCAAATTGTAATTACTAATAGCCATCAAGACTGAGTTGATTGAAAAAACTATCACTCAAGTCTGCTCAAGAGCCCCTCCACTGGTATTCAAAAAGATTCAAACCATCCTCTTGAGTTTCATTGGTCCACACCTGCTCACCGGAAAAGCCCCCTTTTTTGGGTGGCACTTTTATGATTCAACCATGCCAAATCATAGCTTCCCAGAAGGGATAATTCATTTGAAAAAACTTGATGATATAGGACTTGAATTTGCTTTACAATGCATGAATTCTTCCTAAATTACACAACTTGGAGGTTTGTGGTTCAAAGCTTACTGGGTTCTTCCTGGTCATCTCTACAAAAGATTTCACCAGATGAGCATATAATGGATGGCAAGAAAAGATACAGATTTGTGATTGGGAGCTGAACAAGCAACATCAAAATGGGACTGCTTTTGGGTGAGGTCACCAATGCCATGTTTCATTGACGGTCAGACCGTCCTCCCGTTTCCCATATACATAATCTGTGTAATCAGAGCGGCCGGCACATCTCAAGGGAATACTTAACAAGCGCTTCTTTTGCATCCGCAAATTTTTTGTGCCAGTGGCAAGCTTTTCTTGCTCAAACTCGGGCTTGTGGATTTAAGGTTTGCTCATGAGGGTCTGCATGTGAGCCAAGCTGGCTACGGTAAAAGGGTTGCAGCTAGATGTTTTTTTTCAAGCTGGGCTACTTTGGACTAACTGTCTGCTTTGGGGGACACAAGAAAGCAAGATCTCGAAAAAATTAGGAGAGATGGAAGAAGAACACTTGGGTGATGATGCTTGTGAGGTTGGGAAGCAAGACAAATAATGCAGGAAGATAACCGGCAAGCACAGTTGCCGCGGCTGCCACTCGGGATCCACAACGTCTTCATCGTCTTGCCTCAGCTTGCAGGTAGACAATTCGACCCATCCCATCCACTTACTAAATTGCAGTCCGCCTGCTCAAAAGACAAGGATCAAGATTAGGAGCAGCTCTTGGATGAAATTACTGGGGGAGGATGAAGAGATGGATGTGTGCTTACTCTAATGTTGTAGGGGGGTTGAATATGACAGCATAAAGCGACATCACTGGATGGGCAGGCAAAAGACCTGCCGGCAATTTCGGGTATATTGACTGAGATCATGGAAGATCAGGTTCATTAAAAACCTTGACGGTTCGAAGTTTTTAAGTTCGCTGAGCCGCAAGGCACCTGAGGCCTATCAGGTTCACAAAAAAAAACTGTGTTTCACAGTTTCAGTTGCTCTGTGCCGGTAAGTTTGTGTGCATCCTGTGACTCACTGACTCTCCTCTCAAAGTGTGAACTCTGTGACTCTGTGACTCTGTATGGACTTCCGTGCTTAGCGGATGAAGGATTACATTACCCTCATGCTAGCACGGCGTCAAAGGCCTAAATGTAGAGGCACATTAAGGTCTATTTATAGGTGAGGGATGGATGTCAGGGCACCCGTGATATCCATCACTCCATCTGCAGCATGACATCACATTCTTACGACCGATCATGACCTCATACATACTGTATCGAGTCATCAAACATCTAATCAAGTTTGTTCTTTATTTCTTCACATCCTCTCAGTGAAGTTATATTTCTCAGGCCATACATTTCAATTCCAATCAGCAAATACCTCAATTTCCCCTTGCTAAAATGACGACAGCCCAAATCGGTCAGTAAATTTCTTGACACACTAAAATGACGACAACCCAAATTGGTCAGTACATCTTGACCCATCCTCTTGATCTTCTGCATATGTAGCCAAACCTGGAGTAGAGTTTGTTTCCAAAATCAACTAACCTGATTTTTTCCCTATTCTGATACACATTGAAACTATGACAACACATCACATTTTGAGGTACGTTCTGGTACGTTTGTATGACTCTACTGCTTGATCGTTAGACTCTACATAGACACATTTTGGATTTATTTCTAACCTCTACTTTCTTGCTCTTCTGTATCGGGTACCAGAAAGTTCTCTCTCTCTCAGCAGTCTGCTTCAGCTGTTGCCCTTCCAGAAACGGTCAATCGAACCATCAATCCGAAAAAAGATAAATACCCCTCAGATCTGTTGATGATCTCACCTCACTCACAGCATCCGATCTAAGAAAACTACTTCCTCACATCATCCAAAACCAATCTTGATCTATCTCCGATTACGATACAATACTACGCCTGTCCAACATGTCCAACTCAAGAAGGATCAGTCACCCTATGTACTCGATGGGCCCTTTTGACATCATCGAACTGGTAAGTTTGACAGATGCAGGCATTTTCCAGTTTGAATCAAATCTGATCTGATTTGAAATTGGATATTGACATTTCCATTCAGGGGCCGACCACCTTGAAAGACCATAACAACTTCGGTCAATTTAATTATCGATCATCTGTTGTTTTAGAAGAAAAAACTACCGGAAAGCATTACAACCACGAGATATTGCTGTCTGGCTACGGGTCGAGATCAACTGCCCCAATCAGGGACAGGGTTTACATTCTTGGAGGCCGCTTTGTCAAGAACCCCGAGGAACCAAAGAATGAAGCTGACGACGAAGCCGAGTGTACTGGCTACACTTTTTTCTACGACCAAGCCCTTACCCTGTGTATTGGTCGGACTGAACAGTATCGCACCAAAGTTGCTTCCTTGCTGATGAGTAAGGTCGGTGTATTCGGGTTTGGCGTGATAACTAACCGCCAGGAAGTAAAGGTCAACGGTCCAAACAATTCAGTTCAAAATGATCTTCATGTTTCTGTGAAGCACACTGATTATCACACTGCGGTGAGCTTCTCTCTCTTCTTTAAACGACGAAACAATTGCAGACAATAGTTTAACTTCTTCTTATCTTTTATCATTCATGTACAGTCCAAGGAAGTCATGGAGTTCCAAGCAAACTACATCGTTCACGGCAATAGACTCTTGGGTCACACGTTCAACTTATTTCAAGTTGGACGCAAAGCACTAATCGTTGGTTACATCAGTGGCCATGATGATGATGCTGAGGTGCGGCAAGTCACGGTAAGTACTTGAAATTCTTCTTGCTCTGAACAACACATCTGATATGTGCTACTCTATCTACAAGGTTTTGTTGGTATTGATATCTGCGGGAGGCCAAACCACCACTGTGAACTTGATGTCAACTCCTTCGGCCTCTGACTCGGGCCAACAACCTCGACCAAACCTGTAAGTATTTCATGTTTGATTGTTCTTTCTTGGCTTCTTGCTTATGGTGGCTAAATTTGGAAACATCAATCAGTAAGCGAATTGGAGCGCTGTGGTAAGACCAATCAAACCCATAAAACATTAAAAGACATATTTAAAGTATTAAAATAGTAAATAAAAACTCAAGAAATCAGGTAATAATATCAAATAGTCATGATAAAGCCTTTTATTCTCAAATCATAGTTAATTTTCTTGTTATTTTATTTCATACATAATTACACTTCACAGACTCAAGGTATAAAACATACAAGGAAGATTAAAAGGTATATATATATAATCACAAAACAGATTTTACAACATAACAAGAATGGTCAAGAAGGAATTAGAAATAATATAATAATTATAAAGCTGAAAACCAATCATAAAATCATCCAGCAGATCATATTAATTAATTAAGTAGATCATTAATAATTAATCACACAGCCATTTATTAATTACACAGCCACTCATCATTAATTTCACAATGTGAAGATCATTAATTACACAGATGACATCATTGACCAACATAGCAGCAGAATATTGATTTCACAACAGTACATCATTAATTCCACAGCTGCACATCATTAATTTCACAGCTGTAAATCATTAATTTCATAGCATGACATCATCATGACATCATTAAATTAGCAGTATGAGGTCATTACCCAGTCAGACCAATCATTCTCATCAGTGAAGCTGTTTACCATCCTCACCAAAGATTTTGTCTATAAATAGAGGCCCTCTTGGCCCATGTTTCACTTCCTTCCTCCCCATGTCTGCATCAGAGAAATAAGTAGAGATCTTATTTAGCATTCATCACCCCCTTACATGCTAGCTACAGAATAGTAATTGGAGATATTACTTAGCTTTCATCAACCCTTATATTTCAGATACAGAATAGTAATAAGAGATATTACTAAAACCCTTACTCCTCACCCTTATATTGAACCCTGTTAAATAATAAGGAAATTATTTAACTCTCCTCAAACTCTCAACAGAAGACATTGAAGAAATAAAGACTCACTTTATTAAAGACCCAGAATTGAACCAGAGAACCCAGAAAGAATAGATTAAACCAGATTAAACCAGAAACCTTCAGATATCTCCTAACTCCAGAAGCTCTTGACCATCCATTCCATCCACCCTTATAAACAACTCAACATCCTCAACAGGTAGTATCTTCACTAAGATAAAATTCTAGAAATCTACCACACTATTATTTTTCTTAGTGTAACTCTCTCACAAGCTAGACAAGGAGGGCAGTCTCACCCACACCCATTTATTATTATAACTATTTTATAGTTTTATTAATATTTATCCCCTCCAAGCTCTTCACTCATTAGCTTGAGCAGTTCCACAGCGCGCAAGAATTCTACTCCTGCAAACAAAAATCCTGCAATCCCATTTCAAGTGGGACCTACTCCGGAAAATCAGAAAGGAAAGCAAAGGGCCAACAGTCCCCATTCGGTCTTTCCCATCCCTTCAACCTCTTCTGCGGTACGTCCATCCCCAAAGCCAGACAACGAGGATGAAAGCGAAGAAGGCAAATGCTCGGACGACGATAACGATGATCACTTCACTAATACGTACCCAACAAACGAAAAAAATAACAAGCGACAAGGAGGTCCCGGGCCTAATTCTCCATCCAGGTCTGGAATCCTTGCCGAGGCGCAGAAGAAGCTCAAGGGCCGTGCTTAGACCAATCATTGATTGAGATCGATTGGCTCGGCTGTCAGTTTATATTGACCATAGCTCCCCATTCACTATTTATGACCTCGGTTGTGATTTCTACAATAGCATGATAGTATCTAGATCCATTATTTTTATGATCTGATCTGCCTGTCTCTCAATCCTCTATCCTATCTATCCTATTTTCTCCCTTGAATGAACCAAAGCAATAGTCTGTCTCAATGAATGTTTGCATCATACTGATCTGTTGTCTACGTCTGCGATCTGTTGTCTATGTCTGTGATCAGTTGTCTATATCTGTGATCTGTTGTCTATGTCTGCAATGTCAATCTGATTCCATAAGATCTTACGATCAACCTTTCATTGTGCCATTTAGTTAAGTTGATCCTACATGGGTACAACGGCATTGATCTTCCAGATCCGTTCCAGCAAGATACGATCTGTATTTGAGCCTGACAATACACAGGTCAACAGCCTCAAAAGATCCCCTTGGTGAATAACAGAATATAAAAGCTTTCCTGTCATTCGTTCTTGCAAGCGTCGAGCAGATTGTCAACAGTCCCCTGGCGACTAATGGCCCTACCTCCAAGGCGACGATTTGGCGATGTTTGCCAACGCCGAACCACAAGACGCACTTCCAGTACCACATTGCAACATCGTAGATCAGCCTCATCCAGAATCACATCGCGAAATTGTAGATCACCTTCAGCCTCATCCAGAATCACATCGCAAAATCGTAGATCACCATCCACCCTCTCAAATTCAAATTCAAATCGTGTAAACAACCCTAATCCCCGACGACAACGACAACGCCGCCGGCGACCTTGGGATATATTGCAGACGATTGGGATGGGTGCAGCTTATCGATCTGAGAATAACAACGAACGCTACCTACTCAACAGATTCCCTGGGGAATTTCCCTTCAGTGTTGGCTCTCTCAATGATCCTTGCGCTTCATGTGGAGCCTTGCACTGGAAGCTGGAGCGTACAGCCAACGATATGTCCAAAGAAACTGCTAGCTACTCAACCTGCTGTGGCAAAGGAACAGTCAACATGCCTATTCGATACGAGGACATTGAATATCCTTGGTTTATGCAGAAGCTACTCACTGACATGGATCAAAGTAAGCCATTTTTCTTCATGAAAGCAGTCGTACGAAGTATCAGTACCTGCGGACTAATGGATTTTTTTTTCAATTCCACCCCAGCTTCATTGTCATATCAAAGGCAGATTCGGGCCTACAATAACGCCCTTTCTTTTTCATCGTGTGGTGCCGAGGTTGATCGATCCGTTCAGGGTTACGCCGGGATCTACACTTTCAGGATTAGAGGGGCCCTTCATCACGATATTGGTAGTGTGTTCCCCCAGGGGAATTCTAGGCCTGCTTTCTCTCAAATATATGTGGTGGGGGGTAACGACAAGACCGAAGCCGAATATCGTGCTGGACGAGCCAGATCGCCTGTTGACGTTCAAATACTGCTAAGGATCCAACAGTATTTATCGAGGAACAACACCTACGCTCGGTTTTTTAGAATGATAGGACAAGAAGAATTCAACGAACAATCTCAGTTCATCCTGCAAAACTACAATCGGCCAGATTTGGATCAAAACGTTTATAATGCCCCTCGGACATTGGAAGTGGGCATGGTCATTGATAACGATGACCCTGAACAAATCACTCCAAGGGATATTGTGCTGCGGCCGATTGAAGGAGGCCTCTTACACATCACTGACAACTTTAGTGGCTACTTGCCAATTCGGTATCCAATCTTCTTCCCCTATGGCGAACAAGGATGGATTCACGGTTGGCCCAGTGGTGGAGATCGAGGTGAGAACTATGCTCAATTCCTTCCTCTTTTGCATTGTTTTTCTGAATTGCTGATTACTGATATTCCGTAATCTAGAGGCCACCATTTCCCAGCGTGAATGGTATGCCTCAATGATCTTTGATAGGCAAGATACATTCTCAGCAATTCTCAACGGAAAAACTTTATTCCAAGAACTGTTGACGGATATGTATTTCTGCGTCGAGCAATCAAGACTCAACTTCTTTCGATTCAATCAAGCTCAAATCAAGGCGGAACTTTATCGCGGTATCGAAGAATCATTCAGGGACAATACCGTATTACCGATATCCGAGGAAGACGGATTGTTCTTCCGTCTTCTTTCTCAGGCTCACCTAGAAACATGATGCAACTGTATCAAGACTCGATGGCTTTGGTGCGACACTTTGGCAAGCCTTCGTTGTTCATCACAATGACCGCCAACCCTTGCTGGCCGGAAATCACGTCAGCTCTTCTGCCCCACCAACATCCTACAGACCGCCCTGACTTAGTTACTCGAGTATTTTGATTGAAATTGACCTCTTTAATCAACGACATTGTTAAAAAGAAACGACTTGGTGCTGTGGCAGCTTATGTATACACCATTGAGTTTCAAAAACAAGGCCTGCCCCACGCGCATATCATGGTGATATTAGAGCCTGGAAGTGTGCCTACAACTCCGGATGCCATCGATTGCTTAGTCACAGCCGAAATTCCAGACCCAGTCGAAGAACCCAGACTCTATGACATCGTAACATCTTCTATGCTTCACGGTCCGTGCAATCCGAACAGCATGTGCTGGCAAGACGGTGCTTGCAAGAAAGGCTTTCCGAAACCCTTCTCTAACGAAACGACATTGGTTGAGGACTCCTATCCAAAATACCGCCGTCGGGACGACGGAAGACGTGTAATCAAAAATCACCAAGAGTTCCATAACGGGCATGTTGTACCATACAACAAGTACCTGTTGTTACGTTACAACTGTCATATTAATGTCGAAATCCCGTATGGCATTCAAGGGATGAAGTATCTTTTCAAGTATATATGTAAAGGGGTGGATCGGTCTTCAATGCAAATGACAGAAGGTGACGAGACGCTCAAGTTTATCAATGGTCGTTACATTGGCCCCTCAGAAGGTAGGACATGTAGTTTCTAGATTCTCAAAATCTATTTGATTGCTGATCAAGTTCCATCCTGCTCCTCTAGCTGTGTACAGGCTTCTACGATTTGCAACCAATGAACGGGAGCCTGCCATCCAGCGATTAGCAATACACCTTGAAGGTGAACACAATGTTTACTTCACTGATCAAGAAGGATTGGAACGACAGATGGAATCTGGATCTGCGGCTCGAACTACACTCACCAAATATTTTAGACTGAATCGATTGAACGCTGTCGGATACGGCGTCCCAGCGCGAGCTTTACTCTACCACGAAATTCCAAAATATTTCCGGTGGACAAAAAAGAAGCGTTTCAAAGGCCGCAAAAGAGCCACCAACATGATTGGTCGACTCTATCATGCCACCATCAACGAAGGCGAGCGTTAATTCCTCAGACTGCTGTTGCTT